TTTTGCCCCCCCTTATTAATGCTAATAGTACCGAAAATGAACCCCAACAATTGTTACTCAGATCTCCCAACTCATCTATCAATGGTGTCAAGAAAGAAGAGCCCACGGCAAAGATTCAGATTACTCAGTCATCACCAGGAGAGCCCCTGGCTTCTGTCCCTCAGCCACCACCCAACCCCAAGACTCATCCTCTCTCTGCTGCCACCTCAGATCGAAGTAAAGGAAATGGGAAATCTCATCATCGGACACAGTCTGCCGGTGTATTTCCAGTGACCTCAACATACTATCTTTCCCTTCAACAGAAGGAACTCCGGAAACAGCTAGAAAAGAAGAGAGAAAAGCTTAAGAGAGAAGTAAGAATACAAGTGGGCACTGTAATGAAAGTAGAGCATGAGCTGGGTGCGGGGCTCTGGGGGCGTCCGTCCAGATTTCAGAAGAAGGCCTGGAAGGGCGGGCTGTGAGCTCCTGAGAGGGCAGTGTGTGAAGCTGTGAGAATTAAGCTGAGAGTACAGTGGGACCCCAGGAAGCTGGAGGAGCCACTGAAACTGTGATAGTGGGTGTCAGGTATGGTGTCTCTGTGGCAAGCAAGTGACTAAGACAACTTACCTTTTAAAAACTTTTCCCCCCAAGCAAATCAGAGGCCCTAATTTGGGGTGGAAGTTTGCTGGGGATTCTACCTAGGACCTTCTCATTGAGCTACATCCCCAACATTTTTTATTTTGAGGCAGTTTCTTACCAAGTCACTAAGTTGCCCAGTCTAGGCTACAACCAGCAGTCCGCTTGTCCCAGCCTCCCACAGTGCTGGGATCACAAGCTTGCACCACCATGCCTGGCTTAGAGTCCTGTTTTCTAAAGAGAAACAATTTTCAGGACGAAAGTCTTAATTTTGTATCTTATATCTCTGTTCTGATAGCTCATATACAATATTACTTAAATTTTCATTATGTCTTTTTAAACTCTTTCCACTAGGAAGAACAACGGAAAATAGAAGAAGAGAAACAAAAGAAAAAAGAGAACGACATGGTCTTCAAAGCATGGTTGCAAAAAAAGAGAGAAAAGGTTCTAGAAATGAGGAGACTCCAGCGAGCTAAGCAAATTGAGGACATGAACAGCAGAGTGAGTAAAACTTCTCCATGGAGAAGAAGTCCATATAGATCTTAAACTGATCTTATTCACAGAAAGGAGTCTGGATATATCAGACTGAGAGCCTACGTAGAAAAGGGGTTCAGGGATATCCCTGGCAGAGGTACAATGGCAGATGACTTTATTATTAGCTTCTAAGAAGCTCTGTCAAAATCAAATGATTCCTATTTTATTCAGGTTTTCATAGACCAGAAAATAGAAAACTCCCAATTCATTTTTTTCAAGCTAACATTGATGTTCAAATAGGACAGTGATACCCATACACAAACACACACCTGACTTTTCTCATTTTAGAGTAAATGTACAGAAATCTTACATAAAAGCTAGCAAATAAAAGATACCAAATGAATTTTTAAACACTTGAAACAGAAAATCCAAGAGAAAATAAAAATCATCTATATCAAAACTAGTTTACTGTGTATGTATAGAGTACAAATGGCAAACTTGGCCCTCGGCTCTTCAGGCTCATCTCCAGTGATAACCAGCTTTGACGGTGTGCTGCAGATCCATTCATCTTTTATCCACTTATATGCCCCAAATTTTATTATGCGTTTTTTTTTCACTTCATCATGGGCATCGTTCTAGGTTATTATATTTCAATCTCTTTTTTTCTTTTTGAATAGATACGTGGTACATCATTGTTAATATACTAAACAATTCCCCATTTATGGATATTTAGATAGGTTCCAATATCATCCCGTTAACAGTGCTGCAATGAAGATGTATAACTTTGTGGGAACATCAGTAATCTGTAGGAGTTCCTTTAGAGTAGAATTTATGAGTTTTGAAAGTTTAGAGCAAAATTTTAGTTAAATAAGCAAAATTTAGTATACCAGTTGTAGTCCCTCCAGAAATGTGTGAAAGTACATTTAATATGCCCTAGCTAACACTGTGATTTGTTTCCTTATTTTTTCTTCAAATTAATAATATACATGCTTATATATGAGTATGGATTTGCATATATTTGTAAAGTAAAAACACATTTATTGGTCTCCACCCTTGGTTCTGGAGAACTCCTAAACCCCTCTAATTTTGTATCAATAGGAATGCTAGGTGTATCCGTGAAATATTTCATTTTAGACTCTCATCCTGACTCCTAATCTCTTAGAAATTCCTGAGTGATGAGAGAGCCTTCTTCTTCAAATAAGGTGACTGTTGGTGGAGTTAGAGTAGAAATTAGGCCACGAATGGAAGGAATTTATCAATCCAACAGAACATGTGAGAATGCTTTGTGACAAGAAATACTTGGTGATATGAGAGGATCTGGAAAGTCAGCTAGAATAGGGGTTTCATATCATCTTGTCATGAAAGTACTTGAAATAAGTTAAACAGAGTAGAGTAGCACTTTACATATATATTTCCACAGTTACTTTGACTGCTTATGCTGTGCATGAATTGGAGGAAGCCAGAGTAGACATGGGAGAGCAATTAGAAATCAGATGTAATTGTCTGGGTGAGATATGATGATGATTAGATTAGTTATAGCAGTAGAGACAGAAAGACGTTTGAAATGTTTTGAAGTATTAAAGGAACTTGCTAATTGTTTAAATGTGTATGAGGGAGAAGATGTAAAAAGAATATACCAGTTTTACTTTTCAGCTATTTGGTAGATAATAATGCCATTCGTTGGAGCAATAGAGAAGATACTGACGTGGAATTATTTCAGTTTTTAAGTTGTCAGTTTTGAGGTACCCAGGTGACAGTGGTGTAGAGCTGGAGAAATTTGTCTAGTGATCAGGAGAGAGGTTGAGACTAGAGCTATGAACTAGAGAGATTAGTGATTACAGAGATGGAGCAGTTTGTGGAGAAGAGGATGTGGCTAGAGGAGTGGGTGGTGAGTGCTGTAGAAAAAATCATGGAAAGATGAGAAAGTCTAATATGTGTGAGGCTGGATGTTGATTGGCTTCCATGCTGAATTGCTCATACACACCTCTTGGGAGTATGATGAACGTGAACACTGGACCAAGAGTGACCAGAAGTTGTTAGAGTACCAACTTTAATAAAGCCAAATGGTATAAATATTAAAGAAGGACTGGTTTATTTAGAAGAATAGAGGGATACAATTTGGAAACAGGTATGAGGGAATGAAGGGAGTATTAACTTCTTTACCTGATATCTGAAGTATTTCAAGTATGGCAGAAAATGTAGCTTGTATTTGAGAAAAGAAACTGTCACAGGGATGAGTTAAGGTTTGCCTAAGATAGGAAGTTGAAGGCCAGTGGGATGGAGGATTTTTGGTAAGATTTATGAGGGAGGGAGGGAACTCAGAACTGGGTAGGGGAAAAACACAGCACATTGATACAGTGATCAGTGATTAAGGGTATAAAAGACAAGAGGAGTTTATGTCTCAATGATTAAGGAAAACACAGCTGTAGCCCTATTGCTATTAGCTTCTGGGAGGATGATGGACGAGCCTTCAGGCCTTATGTCGTTCATTCTAATATAATTTTTTAATCAGGTATTTGTAAAAGTAAAAGAATACTTTGGTGTGCTTTTCTGTGTTCTATTTGTAAATAATTAATAATAACTTTCAGTGGAAGTGTCTGAAAACGTAAGCCATACTGAATATAGTTTATTTCAAACTATTTTATGTAAGAAAACATGATGGCTATACATTTTCCTTTGTAATTTCTTTTTTTAAAAATTTCTGTTTTTATTTTTGCTACATTTCAAGTCTCAAAAGTTCATTTTAGTGAGAAATTGTATCAAACTAATAGAATGTTGAAGTGATCTTACGAGCTTCATTTCTACTTGAAGCTTTGGTAATTGATTAATTTGGCTTTTAATATACTGTGTCAATAAGTACATTTGGTTGATTATTTCTGTGGGACATTGTATATGATGTGAATCATAGTTTCCAGAAAATACCTTCTACAGATATGGACTGTGAAATGGCCTATTTTACATTGAGTGAAAGAAAGATGTTAGATGATGGAATTTTTATTGCCCTTTTAGAAGAAATGGCTAAAAATGTCCTTCCTTTCTTTGTGTGATACTAAACTTGAACTTAGAGCTCTTTATACTAACCTATGAGGTGTGATCAAAAACTATGATGAATGTTTAAATTTTAAAAATTATTACAGTAAAAGTCATACTGCCATGAGTCCCCCTCAAAATATTCATTTTGAACACATTTATTCTATCATTCTTGCCGCTCTCTGAAGCAGCTCTGGAAGTCTTTTGTGAATGTCTTTACTTGCATTGCCATGACTGCCTAGATGTCTTGAATTGATTAAAAAAACATTTACCTTTCATAATTTTAACTTTGGGGGAAGAGACAGAAGTCACATTGGTGTACAATCCAGTGAATAAGGTGGATGAGGACACACTGTAATACTTTCATGAGTCTGGCTTTCCATTGGATGAGAACACACCATAATGTTTTTATGAGCCTGCTTTTCCGTTGGTTGGCACTTGGTAGCAGCATTTTCTTTATTTTTGATCAGACCTGGTAATGGCACTCACAAAGGAGTACTTTCAGAACTGCTTCAGAAAGTGGCAAGAAAGATGGTATCTTTGTGTTCAAAGTAAAGGAAAGTATTTGGATCATCTAGTTCTACAATCTGCTCCTTTTAGTTTGAATTCATTTGTATTTAATTGACAAGGTAGGTTTCATCAACCATCTTGATACTAGCTATTTGTCACATCTCTTTTTAATACCATTATTTACCCTTTCCTGCCTTCTTATAGGTTAACCATGTGTTTTAAAATTACTCCATTTTTTTCTAAACTTTTAATCCAAGAGTAATCTCTTAGCATTACTCAAAATCATTGCTCTAGGGCTTATAATGTATCATACATGTATTGTGGGTTTTTTACAAGTATTGTTTTTTAAGGTTTTTTTAAGTGCATATGAAATTTGGGGCTGATGGTTTTCTTCTTTGGGCACTTTAAACATGATGTTCAATTGTTTGCTAACTCCCTTCTTTTTGATCAGAAGTCAGGCATTGTTCTTATCATGGTTCCTATGTACAGAATGTGCGTATTTTCTCTGGCTCCTTCAAAATTAGTCTGTTTTTGAAAGTTCATTATGTTTGTGATTTCTTTGAATTTACTTAAATTGAGTTTTACTGAGCTTCTTGGATCTGTATGCTGATATTATACTCCAGATTTGAGAAATTTGGGGCACTATATTTTCCAGTCCTCCCCCCATCTTTCTCTTCTTCTTCTGGAAATCTAATTTCATATTTTGGGATATTGCCAGTGTTTCACATTTCACTAAAATTCTGTTTGCATAAAATTAATTTATTTACTCAGTGTGCATAATTTCATTTATGTTCAGGCATTGAAATTTGTGTAATTTTCTGTCTACTATTAAAATTTAAGGAATTTAGGTTGTCTCTGTTTATCTTGTTTCTTTTAGTTTATATTTCTTTACCAAAATTCCCTATCTGTATATTTATTATATTCATCTTTTTCTTTAATTTCATTAAAATATTAGACCAGTTTTAAAGTCCCTGTTTGTAAATTCCAGTGTCTGTGTCATCTAAAGTTCTGAGTCTAGTGGTGGCTTCTTCTCTGGATTATGGGTCACATTTTCCTGTTTCTTCACCTGTCCAGGGTTTTTTTTATTATGTAATAAACTGTGTGGATCTTCAGTTGTTGAGAATCTGTATTACTTTCCTTTGAAGAATATTAATTTTGTGCCGACAGGCAGTTAAATTAGTATTTAATTCTCTTGACCCCGTGAAATGTGGTTTTATACTTTGTTGTGATGAGTCTATCTGGTTTTGTTCTTAGTCTTACAGCATAATCCTTATTCTAGGATATAACCCTTATTCTCAAAGCCTGGGGTTGTAAGTGGATGATAAACGTACTCAATGAGATACCCCTACCTGGTTGAGCTGGAACTCCATTGTCTTTGGAACTGTGCAGCCTCTGATATCTTCATCACTCACAGCAGCTGTTCTCTCCTGGACTTACAGAGCCTCACTTTACACATGCACAGCCCATTCCTTGCTAAGATTCAAAGGAAACTCCCCAAAGGCTTGTAGAGCTTCCCTCTGCATGGTTCTGTAAGCTTTTATTTTTTTCAACCAGCAAGTTTAATCCATTAGCAATTATTTTTATAATTCATATTTAATCTTTACAATTCTTTATTTTTTATATCTGAATATCTTTCTATTTTGGTTCCTTCCAATGTAGAAAGTTATTTGCTATTACCTTATGCAAATATAAAAGTGATTTGCTGTTACCTGATTTGGATGATAGACTTTTAAATTCTGCTTTAATTTACCTTATATTTTAAAAGTTTTTATTCTTAAATATTTGTTAAACTGATACAACAGAAAAGAAGCTTTTGATTTTCCTTTAAAGGAAGATGAGAGGCTTAGGATTTATGCTTTTTTTCTCTCCGTTTTTGTTAATCTGTTAATTTTGTTACCATTCCCATCATTTTAAGTTAAAACTTTAAATCCCTTGTAAGCAACATTTAAAAAATATTCAGTATATTTATTCAGTAGATAATACATACAATATAGTATAATTCAAAAATTATGAAGAATTCATTCTTTCATCCAATGTCCCAGCCATAAATTCCCCTTTCCAGTAGCAGCCATCAGTAACAGTGTTTGTGCTTCTCAGAAATATCACACACACACACACACACACACACACACACACAAATATAAACCCAGATGCTATATGCTGATATATACTTTTACTTTTCACTGAACATGTCTTAGAGATCATATCCTATGGCTATGTAAATGGAGGTTTTTAAATCTCCCATTATATGAATAGATTATAATCTTCTATTTATGGATAGATCATTATTTAATTATTCCCCCATTGCAGCTTTTCTAAACTTCTGGTGTTAAACATATCCTATAATAATTACCTATATTTATGTTGTTTTGCAAATATAAATGTTTAAATGAAGGATACTTTTGAGGCATTAGAATTGCTAGGTATTCCTTTTTAAAAGTTTGACAAATATTGGCAAAGTGTTTCTCAAGGATGTGCCACTTAATACTATCATCAAGAGTATGTGCAAGTTTCTACACCCCTCTACTGTCATTAAAGAGTGTATTTTTGCAATATTTTTATCTTTACGAACCTGATAGGTAGGAAATGCTGTCTGATTATAGGAAGTGTGAGCGAGGTGGACATTTATGAGTTGTTTAAACTTTCTTTTCATAGAAAAATCCTTTGCCAACTTTCTGTTACTAATATTGATCCTTTTTGATATTTAGGAACTCTGTGATACACTAGTTATTTGGGAAATTAGCTGCACTTTTTCCTTTTTTTTCTTACAATGCAGAAATGTTTGATTTTATGTGGTTGCTATCCCAATTCAAACCATTGTTTCCTGTTGGCTAGACTCTTATAGAAGTCTAATAACCAATCCCCCCTTTTCTGCCTTTCCTCTACCTCAGTAAGTGTATTTTGCATACTTCAGCCAGGATGATCCTTCTAAAATGTGGAATGAATTAAGTACAGAAATTTCCAACGGCTTCTCATCTTGAAATAAAGTCCAGAGTTTCTACCATGGCCTACAGGTTGTATATTACCTGATCTCTGTTCTCTGACTTCATCTTCTACTACTTTGCTACAGCTGCATTTTGACTTCTTTGCTCTTTATTGAACATGCCAATCACAGTCAATTCCTTCTCAAGTCTGTTCCTCTTGCTGTTACCACTCCTTGAAGTACTTCTTATCCAGACATCCCAAAACTACTTCTCTTGTTTTATATTTAAATGCCACCCTTTCCCCCCACTTTTCCCTTTATCACTTTCTTCTTCCCCTACTTTTGTGTTGAATGTGATATAGCTGTCAATCATATCTGATTTTTTCCTTTTCATGTAGAACAACACTGCCCAAGAGAACTTTATATAATAATAAAAATGTTCTGTATCTGTGCTATTAGACATTTGAAATTCAGCTAATGTGACTGAGGTGCCTAATTGTAGATTTGTGTGTGCATGTGTGTGTTTATGTGTTGTGTGTGTGTGAGAGAGAGAGAGACAGAGAGAGAGAGAGGATAAATATGGGGTCTTGCTATGTTGCCCAGGCTGGTCTCAATTCCCTGGGTTTAAAGGATCTTCCTCCCTCAGGCTCAAGCAATTGGGACTACAGGTATGTGCCACCACACCTGGCATAAATTTTGAACTTAATTTAAATAGTCTCATGTGACTAGTGGCTACTCTAGTATACAGTGCAGGCCAAGGATTTATGAGAGATGGAACCTTGTTTTTGTTCATTAATGCAAGCCAGTATCTAAGTACCTGTTATGTATAAATGCTAAGTTTCTGTTGAATAAATGACATAACAGAAATACCCATCATTCTGGTTCATCCCTGTATTCTTTACTCTTTAACTCTATAGTTCCAAAATGTGTAATTCTCAGTCATCTCCACTTAGTCTCAAACTTCCAGGCATTCAGCAATAATCCTTTAAATCCAGACATCCCCTCCCTAAATCCTAAAGTTCATTGTAAATCAAAGATCCTGAATTATATAAATTAGACTTGGCAATGTGGGTTATATATAGGAAAAACTTCAAGATGGAAGAAAAGATCTTCTCTATCAGGACTTATATTTAAAGCAGGTATTTAATGACTGCATCCTTTCTTTTTGTGACCTAGCAAACTATCTGCACAATAAGTCATACTTTCCCCAAGACTAAAGAGCCTCAAATTTGTCCTTTTTCTCTTCTTTGTTCCCCCAAGTAAGAGCTTTTTTAGCTTTTGAAAATTCCCTGAGGATGGTATCCATTGTGAGTTTTGAGGAATCACAAGATAAACTACACCTAGTAGTTCTTTCTTATATCAGAATACCCATGGCTGTGACCCTTAACAAGAACATTTTTATTGCATAAAATCATTATGCCTACACTCCATAATAGCAGTTAAAATTTTTAAATAGGCTTAGTAGTTAAGTGGTTTCTGGCAGATACTTTTCAACTTTAAAAAGTTAGATTTTGTTTTTAGAAGGATGAAAAACACAAGTGTTGGAGCATATATTTGTAAACTATATTCCATGGAGCTCCATTGTGAAGTGTTCTAAAGACCTCAACTCCATTTATACAACTTATCCTTAGCCTTTCTTCAATTCCTTCTTTTATATATTTGTACTTTTGTTGTGGGGAAACTCTGGCTGGAAGAGTGATTGAAATGAATGTAAAGAGATGAAGGGACCTTGGAGCAATAGCACAAGCCTCCTGGAATGCATGGTTAAAGATTAGAGCAAAATCTGCAGGGCAGTAGCTGAGCAGGATCAACAAGTTATTCTTAGAGATGTTTTCTCCAGCCATTGTGTTCACCTTGCCCAGATAAACTTTCTTCTATTAAGTTGACATGCATCATGTAGCAGACCATCCTGTTCTTTCCCTGTCCTCTGACCAGAACTCTTACACAGATGTTTTTCTTCTGCATCTTTGTTCTCATGTCCTTGAGTCATAAATAAAAGGCCAAGAATTTCTCAGCTAGGCATTATTTTCCTCACACTTTCTCATGCTAATGGGTCTTAATGAAGCAGTCCCTCTGGGCCTCTTGGAATTTAAGCTGCGCTTCAACCCCAAGTAATTTTTCATCCTCTGCACTGCCATGGTGGCACACTGCAACACTTTGTGAAAATTGTCTTGTCAGAGGGTTCAACTTTGAAAACCACAGCTTTTAAATTATCTTCATTTACTGATTATTCAATAATTTTTCTTTCAAACTCAGGAGGCTCACAAACACTAGATAAACACTAGATAAGCACTTTACCACACTTCCAAAGTCCTCTCAATAAGATTTTTGGAAGAAACCAGATGGCAGTAAGCTCAAAGCTGAATTTCCTAACAGAAGAGTAATCAGTGTTTCTGATTCGGGGTGATGCATTTGATCTGATTCAGATACTAGGATTACAGGTAATGAGGTTGATATTTTTATTGAAAAATGGAGGAGTGGGACATGTATTCCTGTAGAGTTTCACAGTCAAGGCCTCAAAAAGTAGTTTTGTTTTGTCTAAATTAAGCAAAGCTTGCTTTTCTAATCAGCAAGAAGACAGAGATCCACAAAAAGCTTTCCGATTATGGCTTAAGAAAAAGCATGAGGAGCAGATGAAAGAAAGAAAGTCAGAAGAAGTAAGAAAGCAAGAGGAATGCTTATTCTTCCTCAAAGGAACAGAAGGCCGGGAAAAGGCTTTTAAACAGTAAGTTAAAGGCAAGACTATTTTTAAAGGCTAACCTGACCTCTTTTCAGTTGTCCTTCTTCCCTCCCTACCTCCTCCTTTCCTTCCTCTTTTCTCTCACCTTTTATTATAACAGAAATGGTAAATGTCCATTGAGGAAGTAGAAACTGTCATGACCACTAACTCTAGAAAGCATATCTTCTAGATATTTCTCTGTATATATATTTATAACTTTAAAATATGAATTAATATCATGGTAGATACACTTTCTGTAGTCTGCTTATTTTATGGTGATCTCACCTAATATCCAGCCCATATTCACCTTTTGTACCTAATTGACCTGTAAATGACTTAGAGATGATTTACTTAAACTGGGATCCAGTTAAGGACCATACAAAATTTTGATTTTTTTTGTCTTTTTAAATTTTAATCATTATTTAGTTTTATTTCTAAAAAAACCCTTATATATACATATATTTACATACATACCACATAAATGCTTATGTACCAGGTGTGTGTCTGTATAGTTATTGTCTATGTTATCTTAACTAATGAAGCTTACTTGATTTTTTAGAATATGTACTCTTCCTTTATATCTTTTGATGCTTTCCTGCTTAGGCTTAGTTTTTCATTCTAAGGAAGAACTAGTTTATGCATTGAAAAGCAAGAGTTAAATGATTTCCCTCCCAGGAAGAATAAGGCAAGATTTCTGAATCATGTTAGTATTTCTAATCTAAGTCACCCTGTTTTAAAATATAGCTAATTAAAAATTAAATTTTGTGGAACATATCAAATAGTTATTTGCTTAGAAAACCATATTTCTAAAAAAAGTTAGGACTTTTAGCACCATAAGACAAATTTAATTTTACACATTTGATCCAAAATGTAATTATATTTTGTTGAGTGAGCTTGCAGTATATGCCTGGAGATTCTCACTTAATGCTTTAATAATTTGTGTGGTGACACTATTTCAGTGTAAAAAAGTCAATTTCTTATCTAAACCATGAAAAGTGTATTTAGATGATACCAAATCTAAACATGCCTCTTTCTACAGATGGCTAAGAAGGAAACGAATAGAGAAAATAGCAGAGCAGCAGGCTGTTGAAGAGAGAGCTAGACAGCTACGACTAGAAGCAAGGCGTTCGAAACACTTACAGAACTACCTGTATAATATGTCAGAAGCCAGATCTTTTCGCTTTGCTGATCATTATAACTGAAGGAATCTATTAAACATCTGGTAGCTGCTATTATCAAAATTTTGGATATCATTTTTTATGGTTCTTGTGTCTTGGTAATACGCTAAATTATGAATACTCTTAAATTATGGTATTTATCTTTTGGTGATACTGCTATTTTTAACACTAACAAAATAAATTCAGTTTTGGAATGTGTTGTGCCTCCTCTTAGTCTGTGCAACAATTTAAAAAAAATAAGCTCACGTTCTACTTCTAAAGTATTTTAACATTTCTATCTAAAAAGAACATAAGAAAGGGATGGAGTTCTAGACATTGTTCATACTATCTTTTTTAAAAATTGCAATAGAACATTTTATAAGACAAGATAATTTTTTTTTACTCTATTGGGGATTGAACTCAGGGCCTTCGATCTTTGTCCCTTTTTTATTTTTCACTTTGAGATAGGATCTCACTAAATCACTAAATCGCCCAGATTGGGCTTAAACTTTCCATTTTCCTGCCTCAGCTTCCCAGAGTGCTGGGATTACACCTACATGCCATCATGCATGGCCAAGGAATCACTTCTTAAGCTTTTTTATTTAAATGTGTTGTACAGTCTTATTTATATCAAATTTGGATTTAAATAATTGTGGTAAGGTACATAATAGGTCAAGTGTAATTTCACCTGTTAGTACTTTCAAAAAAGATTGTAACATATATGCATAATACAATTTTAGGTATGTTGCAAAATTAGCCAGTTTTATTGAGAACTTATAATATTACTGGTACTATGTGTTATAAATGCTTTACATAAATACTACAACCCTATGACAACTCCATCAGTCTTATTTTCCAGGTCTGGAAACTAGAATACATAGATAGTTCATTTCACACAGACTCTCAACTTGTATGGTTACAAATTAGAGAACACAGAGACTTATTCAAAAATTTCTCCCTGTCTCAATTTTTATAGCAATTTCAGCATATACCAGGCATTAAATATTTCATTATAACTGGACTTATATTGTTTACGTGTATCCTTAAGGGTCAATAAGACATTAAAAACACATTCCACAACACTCAGTATAGAACTGAGCATTCCCTTTTTTCACTATTTCCCTTTTTTACTATTTTACTGTAGGCAGCAGAACTAAACATATAATAAGTACAGTACTTGACTGATGAGTAAGAATATAAGTGAAACAGTTTGAAGTCTTCACCTATCTGCATTTGAAGTAAATGTTTCACTTAATTTTCCAAGGAAGTAAAATACTTGTGTCTTAAAAAAAGATGGGAAAAATCCAGTTTTAGGCAGTATTTGGGAGTTGGGTGAAGCAGGATGTTAGAATGGACAATGAAGTAATATTTCTCAATGATATAAATATTAGTATATGTTTGATAGGATATAAATATAGGATAGAAAGAGAACTGTAAAATGACTAACAGAACTTGTGCTTCAGTCGACCATACTTTTTTTCCCTTTTTTTATTGAGGTGTGAAATGTACAGAATTTAAAACTAATAATTTTTAAGTTATCACCCAGTAGCATTTTGTACATTCATGATGTTATGCAACTACAATTTCTGATTCTTCAACATTTTATCGCCCCCAAGGACCCTCCAGAGCTGTTAAGAAGTCACCCCCTAATGCCTTCTCTCAATCCCTTGGCAAACACTGTGCTTTCTTTCTTTATAGATTTGCATATTCTAGATATTTTATGTAAATGAAATTATTCAGTATGTGACCTTTTGTGTCTAGCTTCTTTCATGTAGCATATTTTGGAGGTTTGTCCATGTCATATCATGTGTCTGTACTTTATTCCTTTTTATAGACTAAAGTGATAGTTGTATATGTAACACACACATACCATATTTTGTTTTTCCATTTGTCAGTTGACACATTTGGACTATTTCACCTTTTGGCTATGGTGAATTGTGTGGCCATGAACGTTTGTGTACAAGTATTTGTTTCAGTACCTGTTTTAATTCTCTTGGATATACACCCACTGAGACCAAAAAGAAAAGGAACAAAGGGCAAAGGCCTGTACAAAACTAATTAACTAAGGGCAACATGAGCTAGAGCCTCATGAGAAGGTGGAGCCACAGAAGTTGAAGTACTTAAAATCTGCTGGCAGTGGGACACCTGACAAAGCAGCCACTGCTTTGCCCTCCACAGATCTGTCTATAAATTTCTGGATTCTAATGCTTCCTTGGTGACCTCTTGCCCCCCTCATCTAGTAAGGTCTTTTCTATTCTTTCTAATAAACTACACGTACACCCAGCTGTTCCCCACCATATCCTGTTGCTTCAGGCGTCATCAGCTCAGAACAAGAACCTAGACGGGGAGGTTGCTGGTTACATCTTTGGCGACCAACATGGGGCGCCATCTTCTCTACAGAGAGGTGAATGTGGCAGAATGGCCAGACCACATGCTCACACCCTTTTTCTGTTCCTTTATAGTCATCTAAGAAACAGTAGGTGTGCTACTGGCCAGTTTAAAAAGCATATTATCAGGCTGGCACTCTTGAAGCAGAGGACAGTTTCCCCAGCACCTCCTGGTTAATCCCCCACTAAAACCAATGGGAATGTTAGCCAGACAGGGACCTGGATTCCTTTCTGGAGACAGATCTCTGGTTGTGTAGAACTGGTGAAAGCTGGAACAGCAAATGTGGACCCTGGCCTGGGCTGCTACTCAGTGAGTATTCAAAGGCCCCCAGTGGAAGCTGAGTCCCAGCCGATAACCAGCAGAGAAATCTCCACTTATCTGTATCATTTCCATCTGCACTGTGAGGTGAAAGGTAAACTCGGTGTTCTTCAGTTCTCCCCTTTCCTAGGCTGACCTGAGATTAACTCCATCAGAGTCCTCTCAAGCCTTCATTAAGTGTCAAGGTTTGGAGTACAGGTATGGACTTTTCTCTCTCCACTAGTATGACAGACCTCCTTCTTCAGATATGTCTTGATAAATTTACTGGGCCCAAACCAGGTTATGATACTACCCCACATTTCAAGCTCCACTACCTTCCAGCTCAGGGAAAAAGAGAAAAACCAAAAATCCTCTTCTGCTGCTTTAAACAAAAGCCATTTGGCACCACTATCCCTCTCTCTGGGAGGTCGATCTAAGGAATATCTTTATGAGGGTTTTCTACCACTCCTGGTTGCCCTCAAAATTTATTCAGTCCGAATCCATCTATCCATCAGGCCTTTAGCACACCTTCCCAGTAGATGTGTTGACACTGAATGTGACTAAGGTCAATCTGCCCCCACAGAATTGCTAGAGATTCAGTCTCTTTCTGTTGTGGGCAGAGAGAGATGGAGAAAGACAGTAACAAAAGATATAAGGTGGTGCCCTTATGCTGTAACCTCTCTTATAGGAAAAAAACAAAATAACAACTAAAACTCAGAAGCCATGGGCTATCTGCTTGCAGAAGTTTACCATAATACATTTAAAATGGGAACAACTAGCAAAAGTAGTTTACTATAGTGACTCTAATGCAGGGAAACAACTGTCAGAGGAGAAGCGATTTACTATAGCAGCTCTAGTCAAAAATTAAAATGAACATCAGCCTAGTCCTTCTTTAAACAGTCCTTGCTTTCACAGTGTAAAGGGATTTTTCTCACTCTTTGTCTGACTCTTACTAATGTTATTATAAGAGATCTCTGTGCTAATTGGTCTCCCCTAAAAAGTTGTGACTAGTCCTTTTATAGTCATGATCTATAACAAATTATTACAGCTCAACTTGGCCAATACATCTAAGATTTAAAAGTAATTGTGTGTTTTATGTTTCTTATTTGTTCATTTAAACTGATTAAGTTACCCAAAACTGCTTTGTTAAAGGTTTTTATCCTCATATCAGTTGTATTTTTCTTTTCTTTTTTTTCTGGCTGTTTTGGGCTTCCCATAAATAACTGGTTATCTAGGTTTTTGGAAGTAGCCAAATTCACTTAAAACATTACAGAATGGGGGCTAAAGGGTTGGGAATTTACATGAGATTTACAAATAAAAGCCTTGATGTTATATATGAAGTTATAACCTAAAGGTTATATATGATCTAGATTAATGTATGTTTCTATATGTGAATTTTCACATATATGTTCTACTTAGGTTGGCTTATACAGAAATAGACACTCATGATGTTAGACCAAATGCTTTTTGGTTTACATAGCTTAACAGTGAGCTAATTTAAACCAGTTGATAAAAATAAAGATGTCTTTAAAGTTGTTGATGTTTCCATTCAGGCTATTAGCCAATCAAAATAATATCAAAAATTAGTTTATAAATATAATGCCTATGTTAGTATAAGTAACTTGAGTTACCATATATATATATATATATAAAATGTATATATAGCTTTAGAATGTGTTAGTTGTTATGATTGGTTCTTATGAATCATCTAAACTAATTGTTAAGATAACCAAGTGGGGATCCCTTGGGCTTGGGAAAACTGATGATGAAGACTTCCCATTGTGGATAAAAGAGCAGCTGCCTGAACAAATTTGTTCACTTTTATCCACTGATGAGACTTCAGTTTTTTTCAAAGTCTTATTGTAACATATCTGAGCAAATGTTATTTAATATATTATTATATTTAGGTTCATTATAATTAAAAAGTGGTTTTTTGTATCTAAAACAGTGAGGTTTTCTTAAGATATTAAGATGATCTTGGTTAAAACAAAGTTAAAAACAAAGGTTCTATATTGCACTTAGTTTCTTGTGTTTTCCATTTTTAAAGTTTTGGTTACTAAAATTGAGTTTTAAAACAAATAAAATGTTGGCTTATAAACTTTTCAATAATCATTTTGTGATTGGTTAAATAGACAACTATTATCTCAGTTTATGACATAACATATATTTGGTTATATATAATGTATATTTATGACATAACATATATTTGGTTTTATATATATATATGATATGCTATAAGTCTAAGCCTTACAGTTAAGCTCATAGAGTTAAAACTACATGAGTTTAATGCATACAAAGTAACTAATGGGTTTTCTCTTTTATAATATATATATATCCAGTTCTTAAACATATAAAATGACCAAATTTTGATATATCTCGCTGGTCCTTCCATTTAAAACTTGATCTACATCTATTGGATTTGAGTAAACAAATATTTTGTTATCGTATAAATTAGACACACCAATATATTGTGTGTAGTAAGTCTATTTCTGGTCAGCACCACTGTTTCCTAAACTTACAAGGCCTCTAAAGATGTTCCTTAATTCTTGTCAGTGAGGATATACCCTATAAACTTATTAAAGATATCTAAATGCTATCTTAAGTGTAAGAACTAAGTAAATATATATAAAAACTCCGTATGGTTGTGATGCTAACTATTGTTAGCCTCATAGTATATTAAATATTTTTGTGTTTTCCAAGTATACAGGTCTTCAAACATTCAAAGATTTTAAAAAATCTTATTTTACTGATGAATTCCTAACTAAAGTTGTTTGTGGTTGTAAAACTTTTTATAATTGTTGTATGTATGATTGTGTTATAACAGTATGTGACTTACAGTTGCTAAGTGACATCTCCAGACTTTTTAAACTCTCTATGAGTACCTTACATGTGTCACAGGTCGCTAGACATAAAGACCTTTAAGATAAACTTTGGAGTAAAAGTCCAGCTGTTGTGTACAACTTTTTTCTCCCTTCCTAATATGTTAATAAAAATTAAAATAACTGTGTGCCATGAACAGGGATGTTTGCTCTGGATATAAGTGACAGATTGCTATATGACTCACAAAGATACCTAAACTAGTCATGAAAGCGAAACAGGCTGCAGCTGAACTTCTATTTAAGGTGGGCTACACATGCAGCATGACCTCAGCACATGGTGGGGAGCTCACACAGCCTAACCTTGGACATAAACAGGAGCCTGTTTTTTCATTTTCTTTCACCCTTTATTTCTCCCCAAAAGTACATAATCGAGATCTTAAAGATATAAAGTACATCTTAAATGCTTATGAATAGTTCAATATTTGTTCCCAAAACATCACCTTTAGATTTTATTTTATAAACTCAGGGCCAATTTAAAGGATTTTAAATGGTTAATTTTTCTCCAAATATAAGTTAAGAGGATAAAAAGACCAGGCCTCAAACTTGTTTTTTAATAAGAAGTAGTAAACAAATATCCCATTTAATAATCTACAGTTCTTCTCTGTGATAAGGCATTCTATACTAAAGTGAAAATTTAAATGTACTTTTAGAGATTAAAAAAAAACTGCAGTGATTCTTAGAAGGTCAACATACCAATAATTGTTATGCTCAAATGTTATGTTTACTCTTGATTTCAGTTTTTCCCTATGAAATTGTATAACTGTTACCTGGTAATAGTCTACAAAAGTTTGACTTCTAAGACAATCATGGTTTTAAAAATATCTAGCAGGGGTCCGGGGATTTAGCTCAATGGTTTCGCTGCCTGCTGCGCAAGCGCAAGGACCCGACTTCGATCCCTGGTACCAAAAAAAAAAATATCTAGCAGTTCTCTGCACATACTTTATATTTCAAGATGCTTGATATTCAGATAAGCTTCTAATAGTTAAACCTACTGATCTTACTTCAGTACTGGTGTGACTGACCTCCTGGGTGTTCAACAACTGAGGATTAAAAACCAAAGTGTATTAGAGAGAGACCATTTGAGGCAAGTGTTGAGTGAACAATGAGGCTTGTTTACTTGATGATCAGGTGCCCAGTGAGCAGGTTGAGTCCACAGGGGAGTCAGCATAGAGCAGGCAGAGAACAAAGAATTTTAAGGTTAGGGGCGGGGTTATGGCCTTGAGGAATTTGGGGGGCAGATAGAGTGAGGTCACTTTTTGGGACAGCGGGTGTCTTGTCTTTGTTCATTTTTGAGGTCTCCTGTGCTTCTGCTGAGGCTTGATGACACCCAGGCTGCGCTTGACTGGTGTGCTCCTGCCTGCCTGGTTGACACGGAGATGGTGTTTTCTGCAGCCTGTGAGGTTGCTTTACCTGCCCAGTATGACACAAAGCTAAAAAATAAAATGAAATAAAATAAAACGAAATAAAGATAACTAGGCTAAGAGAACAGCCAATATTTTGGGCCTTTCCCTCCAAGGTCAACAAGGACCCAAGTCATGAGGTGACCTCTCTACAAAATCCTACAAGTGTGGTGAGTCACTCAACAGCCTGAGCAGGGAAATTGTTAAACCCCAGTGGACAGGAGTCAATTAATGTACATTTTGCTAAAAAGAGGGTCACCAGAGAAAATTGTCTCTCATGCTTCCAAGGGAAGCCATGTGATCAAGCAAGATTGAGACTCATCCTGGTAGATAACACTGGCAGATAGATAAGCTCTGAACATGGTCGCAAAAGTAACCCCTGAGGAAACTTAACTGGCCTTAATTTATAACGTGGTTAATTTTAATTATTACAGGTCTCACTTTAACTTGGTCTAAACACACAGCAGAAAATTATAACCAACAAAACATATATAAATTTGGTATCATAGCTGAGTTCACTGCCCAATTAGAGGTCATGAAAACTTTTTCTTTTTTTCCTTCTAAGAGTAATATAGGTTCAGCTCTTATATTTATATCATTGATACAGTCTGATCTAATTTTTTGTATATGGTGTGAGGCAGAATGAACAGCAGTAAGAAAAAAGATTTGCCTTCTATCCTCTGATTCTCAACACTCAGTTTTTCACTTCTAACACCAGATATTTGTTTTCTCCCTACCAAGTAATTTTCCAGTTCTTTGTAGACACCATTAGGGTGTTCTATAATTCAATTCAATTCTGACACCAACTGGAGTAGGTGTACACCCCATGGGTTATGAGCTCATTCTCATGAAAATGCTCCCCACTTAGGGTGGAAATCACAAATAGTAATGATATAGGAAATTATACAGGACCTCCAAATGATATAGGGGAAATATTATAACTCACAACCTGCTAGATGTCTAACATGCTGAGTTTGTCTTCCCAAAAACTGAAGAATGAATTCTAAGGAACAACAGAGGTTAAGCGTAGGAAAAATTTATTCAGGGGAAAGATACAGTTGAGAGGCAGGAAGGGACCTGAAAGTGAGTTGCTGAGGACCTCACTTCTTGGGAAGCTTTATAGAACACAACCACATGGGTACAACATGGGTTACAGCTATGATTAACCAATAAGATTATAAGTATAGTCACTTAGGTAACATTAAACCTATGGGAAAGCAAGTCATGTAGCAAGTGTACATGGAAGGAACAAAGAACTTTTCAGGAAAGGGTAAGTCCAAGGGTCTTGGTCACCCACTGAGGTGGTCGATGTCTATCTATACTTCATTAGACCAGATGTTACCATTTACCTTAGGCTGGCCATTTTGTCTTTATCTTGAGGCCTGGCTTCCAACACATGCACCTCTAGCCACAGTTGTAATGTGTTTGTACCTTTGTCCTGAGTCTCTTGAGGGCCTATCCGTCTGACTGCATATAATATCTCTGCCTAGCTTAGCTATCTATAATAGTTGGTCCCCCAGGTAACACTTCCCAGAATCACATGCTAGAATGGCTGACAGAACTCAGTGAGACACTTTAATGTTTATCCATCTTTAAAAATGGTATAACTTAGGAACAGTGAGATGGGAGAGATGCATAAGGCAAAGTGTGAAAGAGGAGAAGAGCTTCTATGAACTGAGTGATTCATCTCCCATTGTTGAGTGGTCTAGAGAGCTTTCCCAATCTGTCCTTTTGGATTTTCATGAAGGGAGGCTTCATTATGAAGGCATTATTGATCAAATCACTGACTACTGGAGATCAACTCAACCTTCAGAAACATTCCCTTCCCTGGAAGTCAGAAGGTGGCGTGAAAGTTTGGTTTCTCTGATCTTTTGGTTGGTTCCCTTGGGAATTAGCCCTCATCCTGAGCTCTCAAATAATAGTCATCTCATATCTATCTATCTATCTATCTATCTCCTGGGAGATTATGAGGGTTTTAAGAGCTGTGTGCCAGCCATGAAACTGGAACAAAATCAAAATATGTATTTCTATATATTACCACAGTGTCACACAGGGGCTCAACTTCACTCTTTTGTACATGCATATCCAGTTGTCCTACCACCATTTGTGGAAGAAACTATTCTTTTCTCACTGAATGGGCTCAGCTTACTGGCTATCTGAGTATCTTTTTTTGTGTGGTGTGGGTATCTTTTTAAGAGAACTGTCTGTTCAAATCCTTTGCTCATTTATTAGGTTGTTTGATTTCAGCTACTGAGTTGTAGGAGTTCTTTATATATATATCTCCCAGATCCTTCTCAGGTAAATGATTTTCAAGTGTTTTTCCTCATTTTCTGGGTTGCCTTTTACTACATCTTCTGATGCACAAAGGTTTTAAATAAATAAATTTATCTACTTTTTTCCTTTATTGTCTATGCTTCTGGTGTCATATCCAAGAAATCATTACCAAATTTAAGGTTGTGAAGATTTCTGTACTAAGTGAACCTAAAGGAAAAGGTAAAGAAACCATTGTAAATATTAAAAGCTAGATAAAGACTGGAACCAAAGCACATAATTGTGAAGGAGAGAAAGGAATATTCATAATAAAGTAAGTAGAGAAATTTATTGTATGATTCAGACCAAAAAAAATTTTTAAGATAACATCAAAATATATTACCATTTGACCAGATTTGTCTTTTGAAGATTTTTCTGGTAGCCACTTCAACTAGTTTGTATAGTTCAGCATACATACTTTGTGAATATTTTAAAAGGTCAATAAAAGGGCATTTCATGATGGTTCATCATATAATATATATTACAAAATATATATTAATTGATGGATTGCAGTTTTGAGTTTATATGATATTCCTGATTCTACTTTCTGTACCATACACTATAAATATTAAGTTGGATATTCCTGTTTTGAATTGTTTGCCATAATGAATCAATAGTTAAGAATCTGTTTCTTTTACATATATATCAGATTATATCCATTCAAAATACAGACTCCCTTTTAAAGAACCAACTTGAGAACACATTTTGTTGAAGTGCTAATATGCTCTAAAATATTTATTTTCTTTATAGCATTTACTTTTAAAAGATTAACCCCTTCACCCTTAGTAATTCCGTAAGCCTATTTTGTAGCCCAAAGTTTCCATTAAGGGAACATCACCTATTGCTTACCCCCTCAGCTATTCCCTTACAGTGGGGAGAGTAGGGGTCAGAAAACTTTTTCGAGCCTTTGTAGGCCAAAAAAGCCTTGCTGTATCTAATCAACTTTGCTGCTGCAATGCAGAAACAGATGAGACAGTACCGTTAAGTGTGACCATATTTGACTCATGGTTGTAGTTTTCCTGCTTTTGAATTTAGTGTATCAAAATGAAACTAACTATTCATATAAAATATTTAATAAGATAAATAATTTAGGGTGTAAAAGAAAGTTATAAGTTTAAAGACTATTAGCATAAACACTGTGTACTGTGTGAAAAACATTCTCTACTCTAAATATATGAACAGTTTCATTCTTTTCTTACCTGAGATATTTATTAAAACAGGGTAACCTGGAGTCCAGTACATGAAGTATCTCTGTGGATACATGTTATGGAAAGAGGAAATGATATTACTTCTAACATTATAAGAACCCCAGTTCCCAAATAATAATGACTCTTCGGTAATAAACATGTCACCAACATACTAAATGTTAAAGTGCAATAAGTTCTCCCTGGCAATGATTGCAGCAATTGAAAGTTATATTCTCATATCTAGTATAGGGATGAAATCGTCCAATATTTTTCTTTGTAGCAAGTAATGTGGCCGTTGAAGACTCAGAAAATGGACTGTCAGCTGAGCTTTCTGTATAGATAACTGGATCCAGAATGCGGAGAACCTAAGGAAAATGAGAGGTGATGTCAGATGCATGCAGTATGAACCATAAAAACCTTTGGTTTCATTGATATATTACCTACAAAGTTTCATTTCATTGCTGTGGAACTGCCCTACCATAAATGATAATATTTGAATGATTAATTTGAAAAGTTATTCCCTTTTTCTTTTTTTTTTCCATTCCTTTTGTTGGGGGGAGGGGTTGTGACAGGGTCTCACTATATGGTGCAGGCTGGCCTTGAACTCACTACCTAGCTCAGGCTGGTCTTGAACTCCCAGCAATCCTCTTGCCTCAGCCTCCCACGTGCTAGGATTACAGACATGTACCTCCATATGTGGCATTATCCCCTTTTTCATAAAGCTACACATTTAACAATGATGTCCAGTTTATTACATTATCCTAGGTTACCTATTTTTTAAGTAATGATGAAATTATTGCTCTTTTATGGATACTGATGAAAAGGAATAAAAATGTAGAAGAAAATGAGGTTATATCAATTCTACCTTAAGTGCTATCAATTTTTTATCTTTAACCAAAAAAATCCACTATCCTTCAATCTTTCATTCAACTGCTTAAAATCATGATTCTGCCTTTATTCGTCTACTGAAATGCTATTTCAAAAATCTTTGGTCACTTATTTATAAAACAAATGGCTTTTCATTTCTTTTTACAATTTGTATGCAATGTTTTATGCTAATAACCATGTTCTTATTTCTTGCGTTCCACAACACTACGCTTTCCTGATTTTGCTGACTTTTCCTGCTTTGTTTCCTTTACTGAGATTCAAAGTGGAAGAACTCTTGGACTGCAAGAAATTCTCCAATCAAGAACAAGAATAACATGTTTGGACCATAGCTGTTACATTTCATGTTCATGTTCTCCCAATAATCATCACATGATAATGAATTATGTTTCAAAGCAGTAGGCACTGTAATTGGAAAGAAACTGTGAAAGGAACCAGGGAAAGTCTTTGAACTCAGTATGTAGCCCAGGCTGGCCTTGAACTCACGATCATCATTCCTCAGTTTCTACACTGCTGGGATTACCAGCTTGTGCCACTATGCCTTGTTATTTTCTTCTCTTCTCTTTTTTTTTAAGGTATGCTGTCACTATGTTGATCAGATGGTCTCTAACTCTTGGGCTCAAGCCATCCTCTTGTCTCAGCCTGCCAAATAGCTGAGACTACAGGTGTGTTCCACTCACCTGTCTTGGACCTCTACTTTTCAACTAGACTTTTCTTGTTCAGTTTAGTTTTTGAGATCCTTCTATTTTTTCGAATATGGTTAAGTGTTCAAGGACAAGCAAAGATGAAAGGCTTACCTTAAAGTTACTAATGAATTTAGAAGGGAAAAAAGAAGAGTTTCTAAATATACCTGTTTACTACATTATGAGTCTTCAAAGATAGAAACCCTAGAATTCAGTAGAAGGAAATAGACTGAGGCATTATTATGGATAAAAAGACTTCTGAATTTAGACTGAAGGTGATGGGGAAGGATTTTAAGTAGAGTGCCTTTCAGGCAGATCATGCCATACAAAGTGCGGAAAATGGGAAAAGGGGTAGACTTAAAGCAGACAGGGGAAGAACAGAGAAGACAGGTTATTGTAATTACTGAAGAAAGGATGGCATCTTGCAGAAATGGGGTTGAAAGGTTCAAGAGACACTAAGAAGGAAGGGCTATTAGTTTTGTTAAATGAAAGAATGGGAAGGGATAAAGAATTGAGAGAACAAAGGGATCTAGACCAAGCCCTGAGAATACCAACATTGTAGAATGAAATACAATGGTCAGAGAAAAGTCAGGAAGGTACAGGGCTATACAATCCAGGGGAAGATAGTATTTTAAGAAAAAAGGAACAGTGAGTTATTCCAAATGCTACCGGCAGTGACTGAGTAGCTAGTGACATAATTTCCCAGCAAAGAAAATTATAGAGGAGGAGAAACAAGGTCTTGGATAAAGATGAAGAACTTAGTTTTAGGTACTGACTCATTCAGTGAACAGCTGATCACCTGTGCACAACATTATTATGACAGATCCTAAGGAATCATAAAAAGACATTTCCCATCCCTTAGCAGCATATAGTTTGGAGGTAAGAGGGAGAATCAAGCAATTACAATTTAACGTGATATAGAGCTATATTAGATATGTGTACACAGTGGGAGCCTAGAGAAGGCACAGCTAGAGCTTCCAGTGAGTTGCAGGGAATGCTGCTTCACACAGGTGGTGCAGAGGCCAGGCAACAGCAGAGGTGCTGAGAATGCAGTCCAGGTAGAAAGGCAGGTATGTTCAGGGGCATGAGTACAACGGTCTCTGTGGAATAAGGAACAGAGATAATAGGAAATGACCCTTAAGAAGGAATGGAAAAAGATTATGAAAAGCCTTCTATACTGTATGAAAAAATTCAGATTCAATAATGAGAAAGTCCTGGAGCTGTCTGAAGGTTGTGCTGGCATTTTTGGAGTAACTCTGGCAACAGAGTAGAGGAATGGGTTAGAAACAACTAAGAAGTGAGGCAGGAATGTTGGTGAGGGAATTGTTGCACTAGGCCAGGCTGGTCGTCTGAGCTCGGGAGAGGGAGCAAATCAGGAGGAACTAATAAAATCTGTAAAATCAATAGGATCAGGGGATGAAGAAAATAAGAATGATAGCTACCATTTATTATGAAATTGCTACATATTAGAAACTGCCATGGGCTCTGTAGGTATAATTTTATCAAATCCTGAAAATACCATATACAGTAGGTATAGTTCACTAAGATAGGGAGTACAGAAGAAGATTATTATTTTTTTCTCTTTGGGAGATGGATGTACAAATGTAATACCTAGGAGGAAAGAGGATGTTAGATTTTTAGCTGTGTGTAGAAGAACTAAATAGAAATGTGCAGCTGGATGTAAATCTCTTGAACTCAGAAAAAAGTATCTCAGGTGGAGAATTCACAGGCATAAAACTTAGGGAATAGGATAGTCCTTAGCAAATACAGGAAGTATGTGATGTGTGGAAGGTCTCAAGAGTGGTCACAGGAAGAGGATGCCCCCTCCATCTCAAGTACTTAGAAAGAGTGGGCACAGGAGTAGTGAAGATCTGGGAGAATATGGTGTTTTAGAAATGAAGGATGTCTAAAATGGTGGGGAACAGGTTCCTATGGAACATCAACATCTAAAGGCAGAAAAAGTCTGTAATAAAGAGCTCAGAGAGTTAGCATAAAGGCCAAGAATAGTAATGTTACAGACAAGAGCGTTCCAAGGAAGAAATACTTGATAAAGTAAAATATAACATAATCATATAACTTCATATGAGTGCTCTGTGAGAACAGAGGGGCTAGCAGTGTTCTTCACTTTTAAGTGGTGGTCAGAATTAAGGAATGGAAGCTGTGCAGGAACCAGTATGTGTCCAAGGTTGTTGGCTGTGAAGGGAAGGTGATATTCAGGGAACTTATGATAGAGTGAATTTTAGTTTTGTTTTTTAGATGGATAACATTTGGGCATGTTCTTAAACCAAAGGTGGGGAAAATGCAGAGAAAGAATGGGTAGCAACAGGGATGGGGGTGGCGATGATGAGCCTGGATGTTAACTATGCTTTGGGGACTAGGGAAGACTCCTTTTCCTGGGAGCAAAATGTCCACATTGCTCCTTAACATAGATGCAGGCTTCTAGATATCCAGGGAGACTGCAAGGACCTGTGCCATCTTTTTCTTCATGAATTGGAACGAAAATTCTCCACTGATTGTAAGGTAATAGTTTGATGGGTATCAAAATAAAGAAGGCAAGCAGCTGAACTGACAGAGCACTACTGTGGTTCTCAGGGTACTAGGGGAGAAGGATTAAGGAAGTAAAACACTTAAGAATGAAGTCTGAAAAAAAGAATGAAGTCTAAGGCAAGATAGGGAAGGGAGAGAGGCAGGGAGTGAGCTCATGAGATGAAAAACATATAGATATCAAGGGACTAAAAATAATGACATGATCAAGGAAGAGGCATAGTCAGAGTGAATGAATTATAGCTAGACAGAAAAGAAGCTGAGATCATAGACCACGGAGAGATGAATATTGTAGCAGTGGAGCAGTTCTAGTGAGGCCTAGGATGAGGACATGGGAGATGGGTGCTAAAAGCTTTTTTTGGGAGGTGGTTCGAGACAAAGCTAGGTACCTCAGGCTAGCTTTGAATTGTCAGTTCTCCTGCCTCAGCCTCCTGAGTTCTGGGATTATAGTCATGCACCATCATACCCAGCTACAGAGGTGAATTTGGTTGTCATCATAAAACTTTAAGTCCAAAGTATTTGATACCAACTCCTGCATGGATCCTGAGTTTTTCCAGGGCTGTACGTACTTGGTGTATATTATTTGATTCTGCATTATTTGGCACATTCCCATCTATCTGTGGGAATTAAACAGTGTCTTAGATGGGAAGTAACCGATTTAATTTACTAGTCATTACTAAATTAAAAATTTTACAGTGTATTTTTTTCTCAAAATTAATATGAAGAAAAGGACTATCAATGATTTGTTGGCTAAAAAAAAATAGAACCTCTTTTAAAACATTTTTTCTTCTTAGAATAGAGTGGTAATGTTAGAGAAAATTAAGCTCATGGAGGGAAATAATTTTGTCCAAGATCACAAGTTATCAGATTAAAATTATGTGTAGATCCTGTATTTCCCAATTCCAAATGCCAAGCACTTTGCATTAGAACATGTCATTTTTCAGGAGGCAAGTATAAAATTCCTCAGGGCCTAAAAGCAGCTCCCTAGATCAGGAAAGATACAATCGTTTACCTTTTCAGCCATCTTCTCAGCTGGGGTGCTGCAGAATTCAACTGCTGATGGAATCTTCTTTTGACTGTTGATGGTGACATTTCCCAGAAGATGAGAATGTACTGCTTTTGCCAACCTGTGGTTTGTTAATGCCAGTTCTGCTGTGCTGTGGGGCTGGGCACTAGGAGAGTAAGTCTGCTCTCTGCCCCACTGCAAGGAGACCAAGAGCTCCTCCAAAAATCTGCACAGAACACACATGAACACTGAGCATTAATGAGAGAACACAATGTAAAAATCCCCAATAGCACATAAACATATTTCTGAAATCATTCAATACCTTTTTCTCTCAGAGTTCAAGAAGTCTGATATGTAACTTGTACTATAAAAAGCACCTGTCAGTCAGGAGGTTATCTGGAAATCATTCAAGAAATACTACTTTAAAAAATCATCCTATTTTAGTATAGGAACTACTGATTTGATTTGTGTACAACTATGATTTTTCTTTTTTGGTGAGTTACATTCACTGATTTTTGAATGCTAAACCAACCCACAATACCTGAGATTAACCTTACTAGGTTATAATACGTAAACTTTTTTACGTCACTTGATTTGAATCACTAAAATTCTCTTCAAGATTTCTGCATCTATGTTCATTAGAGCTACTGGTCTGTAGGTGTCTTATAATGTTTTTGGTTTTGGTATCAAGGTAATGGTGGCCTCAAAAAAATGAATTGGAAATTATTCTTTCTTCCTCTACACTCTAAAAGAATTTGATTTTTTTCTTAGAGGTTTAGTTGTATTTACCAGTAAGTCCATCAAGGCCTGAAATTTCCTATATGGATGGTTCTTAACTACAAATTCAACTACGTTTGTTCTTGAGTAGCCTTTGATAGTTTATCTTTTAAGGAGTTTGCCCACTTTGTCTAAATTATATTTATTGGTGTAGAGTTGTGAATAACAATCCCTTATTATATTTTCTGTGTCTATACAATTGGTAGTGTATACCTTCTTTCATTCCTGATAGTGTAAATCTTGCTGTTTTCCTAATTATACTTGTGTTGGTTTCTTTCCAAAAAACTAGCATTTAGCTTTTTATTTAGCTCTTATCTTTATTATTTTCTTCCTTCTGCTTACTTTGGGTTTAATATGCTTTCTGTGTCTATTAAAAAGCTTAGGCTGGTGATTTAGCTCAGTGGTTCCCACGCCTGCCCCGACAAGCACAAGGACCCAAGTTCGATCCCCGGTACCAAAAAAAAAAAAGAAAGCTTAGATCACAAATGAGATCTTTCTTTTCTAAATAAGCATTTAATGTAATGAATTTCCCTTTAAATACTGTTAGTTTCCTCTCATAGATTTTGTGCTTTGTTTTTCTAATTTCCCATAAAATTTAGTCTTTGACCCATACTGATTATCTTAATAATAAATTACATAAAAGTACAAACTTTTAAGGAAGATTGCTCATTTTTGGGGGAATACTATCAGGTTTGGTAATTCAGGAGTATGTGTATATGAAAACAAATGCTAATACTGTAGAGAATCTTCAAAATGATCTTATACAAGACAGGGGCCTTTCTTGGCTTCTACCAAAAACTGTATGAAACTATTATAACAATAACCAAAAATTGCATTTAAGTTCAGACATCTCTTCTATTATAAATAATTCTCTCCCCAATTGATAATGTGAGAAGAAGCATGTTTTTTATTTTCTTTTAGGTCTCATCCCTCCCAGGGCATCTATTTTAAAGTACTACTCAAAAGTATACATTCAATAATACTAAATGTAGACACACACACACACACACACACACACACACACACACAGACAACAAAGCAAAAAACTAAACAAACAAAACAAAAAAACTTTAAAACTTTCACGATAAAAAAAACTGCAAGAGGAACCAGAAAAGTTTAGAATGTAAAACAGTGGCATACTTCTGGGTAGCGATCATTTCCTGACGAAACTGTTCCCGTTCACTCAGAAGATCTTGTATAGCACTTTGTGCATCACGGTTTTGACGCTGTAAAACTGCTTTGGAGTTGGTTAACTCTTCTGCCATCACCCTGTAAAGGATCAAAATCTTACCTACAAATTCCCCAACAATAACCACGTACAGAAGTTAATATATTAATAAAGAAGATTTAACATAAATTGCTTTGTAGTTTTAAAATTTTCACTAAAAATTATTTAATAATGTTTATACGTTTAGAGCTGATTAAAGGCATCCAGTTAAAATACTTAGTTACAAAATGACAAATTAAACAAGCATTTTATTTTTCTATATAGTGACTTCTGAATTTACCTCAATCTTACTGCAGCTTGTTATTTGGTGAAAAAATTAAATGTTTTAAAATACAGAAACATTTTAAGAGGAAAACAAAAATGAATTCTTTTTCTACTATTATACTACACTTTGCTTTTAGAAAAACATTAATATAGGATAGCTTCTCTAAAAGGAAGGCCAAGTTTTACCTCCTGCCTAGCATGCCCATTCTTCTTTTATGTGTAAATGATAAAGTTTCCTATATATATTTCTCTTCAAATTATGTGTATTTCAACATAAATGTTTAAAAAATAAAATTTAAAAATTTACAAAAAGGGATTATTTAATACAAAGTTTTCTATACCCTGCTTTTTTCAGTTACCTTTGAAAATTTTCCATCTTAGCACATGTAGAGCTATCTCATTTCCAGTTTAATTGGCCTCATGCTTTCTTTTCATTGTTATTTAGCCAGTTCTCTATTGATACAACTGAAGCAAAATTTTAAAGTCAGCTGAAAATCTTAAAACTTTAAAGTCTCAGATCATAGTTACTACTGAATTTCTTTAAATGAAAACCATTTTGACATTAAATAAAACACTAATTTTTATTGTCTTTAGATTGTTACTACCAATGTTGATCAGTGCGTCCAGAAAGTTAATCTGTGTAACATACAGTGGTATCTTGGTTCATGAGCTCAATTCTCTCCACAATTCTGGTTGCAAAGAGAACTGGATAAGAACCGAATCAAATTTCCCCATAAGGTCAACATTGAGCCTAACCATTGAATTTGATTCAGTTCTCGTCCAATTTGGTTTGTGACCAGAATCATGGAAAGACTCAAGTTGTGAACTGCGGTATTTGTGTATGCATGATTAGCCTTTTAAAAATGTTCAGTAAGAAGTAACTTTGATTCCAAGTCAATAAATAGTGATTTTTTTCAAATAGCATATTGTACTGGAACAACTAAAAAACAAATAAATGAAGTACTTTACAGAACAATCAACTATTAAAAATATCCTAATATTCATACATGATGTATATATTTCCTGAAAATGTATACATTATAATCAGTGATTTGCTGGTGTTACTCATAACACATTAGGCAAGTGGTCTACAACTGCACTACATTCCCACCCCAGGTGTGTTTTTTAACCTGTGTTAGAGAGTATGCCATAAAAATGTTATAATTACTATTTATGCAGGAGAAGAAAAAGCTTGGGAAGCTTGTTACACAGACAAAAGAGTATGGAATGCGAATATACTATCTCAGGGACTGAGAAAAATATTTGAGTTCTCCAGATGGGAGAAGGGGAAAATAATCTAGTTTTGCCTTTTGTGATTTTAATATTTACCAGATGTCTGAGTTTACCATTTTGTTTTGGTTTTAAACACTGCAGTGGAGAGATTTCTAGAATGAGGGAGGATTCTTATTTCTCCATTTAGGAAGACTGTGTGACCCTTCAGAGAAGAGAAAGTGCTGCATATTAAATATTACATAAAGTACTTTGGCAACCTTAGTCAGAAATTTTCACACTAAATCAAAAAACTGATAGAAGCTAAACTAGGAAATAAGCCAGGCTCAGAAGTGCATCCCTGTAATCCCAGCGGCTTGGGAGCCTGAGGAAGGAGGATCACAAATTCAGGCCCAGTCTAGGCAATTTAGTGAGATCCTGTCTCAAAATAAAAAATATAAAGGCCTGGGGATATAGCTCAGTGTGAAAGCCCACGGTTCAATTCCCAGTATTATAAACAAACAAAACCTATATTAAGGAAATATAGTTTCCGTAGCTTATATCTAAAATGTTCCCTCATGTGTTCCCAAACACATCATGTGATGTGTACCCAAACACATCAAAGCCTCATGTGTTTGGAAGGTGACTGGATCGTGGGAGTATTAATGCAACAGTGGATTAATCCATCCATGGGTTCATAGCTGACTCTGGGCCTGGCTGAAGGAGGACCACTGGAGGCATGATCTGGGAGGGGATGTGTTCTTGTCCCTGGCTCCTCCTTTCTCTCTGCTTCCTGGCTGCCCTGAGTTGAGCACCTTTTCCTCTACCATACCCCTCTGCCACCCTGTTCCTGCCTTGGAGGCAGCCCACCGTGGACTGAAAAAGAGCCAAAATAAACATCTCCTCCTTCAAATTGTGGTGTTGGGTATTTTGTCCCAGTGAAGGAAAAATGACTAAGACATTAGTACTATTTACAGTAGGAAGTACCTGCTTGCGAGGAATTTACTTCGCCACACGTCACACTGTATTGACATGCGTTCTAACTGCTCCGAGAGCTGAGCTGTGTTTCGACTTAGGGCTTCATTTTCTAAAATGAGTTGATTCTTCTCACGGGCTAGACGTTCGAAGTGATACTGAAGATCATCCCCAACAGAAGCCACGAGCAACTTTTTTAACTCACGATTTACCTAGAAGAAAAGAACATAATTAACATAAGCTCAAAGAAATGTCACTGACTTTAATGGAAGAAAATTAACTAAAGAGAAACTATATTTCTGTGCAACTTGGGTCTCCATTAAAATATCAGAGAGTAATATTAAATATTTAAATTGTATAACATACACAAACATAATCTATATCTGTAGACAATGTGGCTATAAACTGAGCCTCTTTAGTAATAAAGTATAAATCATTATCATGAAAATAAACTGTTTCCACTCAACACATAAAGGGAAAAAAAATCAGAAAACTACACCTATACATTTTGCAAAAAAAGGAAAATGTTTTATATAGTTTTTCTTTCCACATTTATAAAGTGATCTTTCTGTGTCCTAGGATTTTTATCTTTAGGAATTTAAGAAAAGGAAGTAATCTAGGATATCTATAAGTAATTCTTCATACTGTTATTGAAAAGAGCAAAAAAATTAAAGCAAATGTCAATAACAGGTATTGATGTAGCCACTGAATACCACACCACTAGTGCTAATAACTGTGAAAGAATGTTATGACATAGGAAAACAATAACTAAAAAATGTAGGCTGTAAGATAAAATAAATCCAATATATACAGTACACAATTATATCTGGATGGTGCAATTGTAGGTAGTACCATTTTTCAACTCTATTTTTCTATTTTTTCTAAAATGTTTAGGGATACATATTAAATTTGTATTCAGAAATTAAAGATATACAAAATTATATTATTAAATACATTAAAAATGCATATGGACAAGAACCACTAACCACAGTGTCACAAAAACCACTATCTAGTAAAACAAAATGTATAGTCTAACATAAAAAGGGAGGGTTAAGTCAATTTTATTAAGACATAAAGATTAAAGCAACACAATCAAGCACTTCAGTTTCTTTTTCATTTTTAGTGAAGACACAACTTCTTCTACCATTATTTTTATTCCATATATCATGTATAACACAGGCAAAGATACTTGTAATTTATGAATCCTTAAAACAAGGACTGCTAACTCATCAACTTCAAAGTCTGGCTTAGTCCACCTTTGGGCTGGCAGTTTATAATGGTAACCTACTTGTACAATTTATACGTGGTTTTGTCTAAAGCAACTCACACCTCCTCCATCTTTGACCACATTTAGAGTATATAAGTTCTCTACATAATCGGTAAGAGGCATTGAGAATGAGAAATTGAAAAAGCATTTTAGATAAATGACATTTCCATGAAAAAAAAATGCAGTTTTCTAATGTGCATGCAGGCTTAGAAGGCCTAGGTGTAAGAGTATTCATTAAAGCCAATTAGGCAATTCTTACCTCTGTCTGTACCCGGAGCTGGTTTGAAAGACCTTCTTTGTCCTGTAGTAACCTCCTTTCAGAATTCTTGAGCTTTTCCAATATATTCTTTACCTCTGAGAGTTCCTTTCTGGGTTCTTTAGCTCCCTCTAAATGACTAAGAAATTCTCCTTTATGATATCCCAGAGACTTAACTTTTGCATTTTTGTTGGGAATATCATGAGTTATAGCAGCTTTGGGAACAAATATTCTTACAGCTTCAACTTCCACTGCTTTTTCAGTGAGAATCTTCCCTAGCTGAAGAACTCCTGGGCTCTCTGAGGGAACTGCTTTCTTTCGTGGACTCTGAAGGATGTGATGTTTTATGGATTGGATTCCAGAGGTGACTTCAACAGACTTAGGTGGCTCCTCAGTTTCCATTCCATCTCCTGCTCCTCGGATTGGGGTTGAAGTAAGGGTGACTAACAAAAGGGAAACAAAACATTACTACTTACTAAGAAGGAGTGTTAAGAAGATGTCAAGAGTGCTTTGTCCTTCATTCAGAATTACTGGCACTGGAAAAAATTCATAGTAAACAGTAATTTTCAAAACAATAGTGTCAACAAAGGATGAATTAAGACTTACAAGCTCAAACTTTAAGTTAATGGCTTATGTCTTGGTAGAAAATGCAAGATAATGGGAATCATAGTATTAGGTTCAGACTTCTATTTCTCAATATGACCCTAGGTAAATGTTTTCGTAGTGCTGAAGACCTAGGAAAATAATTTAATCCCCCATTAATCTCTATTTCCTGATAATGCAAAATGGAGACCGTAAACTGCAGGGTTGTGGTAGGACAAGTGATAAGATTAAATGTGTGGCACATGGCAGACAATAATACTAGTTAAATATAAAAATAAATACTAGCAGTAGATAAGATGCATGATAAAAATACAGAGAATATTTACATTTTAAAAACTTATTACAATAAAAGACACACTGCCATTGATTCTCCTCAAAATACTCACCCTTCACTGAAGTTACTTTCCTTCATCTTCTAAATTTTACTATGCAAATACAAAAACTACAGAATACAACACGTCATCTTACATAAAATCACATATCCTCTGGTTTTTATTATTATAATTTTAAAAGATATTATTAAAATATACACGTACAAAATTTACCTATCACCATTCACTTTTCATTACTTCAACTACCCTCAATATTTTACATACTTCTAATCATAATAAATTTTGTAAGCTTAACACATTATGTGTTTTTCAATAATTTCATATTTAAAACTTTATGGCCACCATATATTGTTTTAGGTTAATATTGTATAATATATCTTTTTGCTGAATATTTATACTATTTCCAATTTCTCACCACAATAAATAATGGCTTAGTGAACACTTCTATGCTATATTCCCAAGAGCTGACCTCAAACTTCTGGACTAAGGGTTACTCCCTCCTCAGCCTTCCAAGTAGCTGGGACTATAGGCTTACACCACTATGCCTGACTTGAAGTATTTGTTTAAAAAAAAATCCAAAGCACAGAATTAGAGGGTTTGGTAAAGATCTATACCATCAAGCTGCCTTCCAAAATCGTTCTGTAATGTGTCAGTAGATCTATTCTTTATGTTCTTATATAGTTTTATTCTTTTGCATGCTCATTTCCTACAATTTCATATAATACTTAACAGTAAATTAGAATACATGTAAAAATGTTTACAATGGTGTTTGCCACAGTGAGCACTCAACAAATGTTAGGTCTTATTGCTTCTTTGCTTTTATTTTTATTATTCTTTAAAAAACTTCCTAGCAAACTCTGGATATTGATAAAAAGGGTGAAAGTTTATTTAATGTTATAAAATATAATTCTGACTTTTATTCCTTTACACATGTCTTAAAATTGTATCATTAGACTATAGGACTATTGTCCCATTTAATAATTGTTTTTTTTTTTTTTTGGTACCAGGGATAGAACTTGGGTCCTTGCACTTTTGAGACAGGCAGCGTAACCACTGAGCTAAATCCCTGGCCCATAAATTGTTTTGTTCAAATTTTTCCTATGTATATAGCAATGTTCTGGGAATAATGAATTACAGTAAGATGGAGAAAGCTATCTGGAGTGGAATTAATGTGATCTATTTAACAAAATATTTTTATATCTGAATAAAAGTATCTCTTCAATATGAAATATAAAATACATTTGGGACTGATTCTACTTTCAAAAAGATAAGGAAAGGAATACAGTATTTCAGAACATCAGATAAAGGGTTTGATATATTAGTGAAAACATGCTATTGCACATTAGTACTGAACCATTTTTGTTTTTGTTGTTTTGGTACCGGGGATCAAACTCAGGTCCTTATGCTTGCAAGACAGGTGGCAGAACCACTGAGCTAAATCCCCAGCCCAGTACTGAACCATTTTAAAAATAATTCCTTTAAAGTTTTTAAAATCTGGTTTTAAGTTTGTCTAACTTTATCTAATGTAGATTTCATCTTCTTACTAAGACATTACAACATTTAAGAAGTCATATAGAATCATGTATTAACTATAGATTAATAAAAATACTAAACAATAATAAAAAGACCTCTACAGTCATGAAAACCAGGCCAAATGAGACTGAGGAAATAAGAAACAGGTTAAGTAAGATTTCCAGGTAAGTCATAACATTTTTGAGTTGGGATTTTAAAGCACAAAATGGTTAATGTTAACTTTAAAAGGCAAAGAAACTTTAATGGGGATTTAACAGAAATCTCTTTACAAACAAAATACATGGTAAAATTCCAACCAACGTGTTTCAACTCCAATTTACTATTTATTTTATTTATACTGTTCTACTTACTCAAGAATTTATGAAAATCAAAGTATTTTATGTATCATGTGGCAGCTCCTACTCAGTAACAACTATGATTCTAGCTCACATGCATAGGGAAGCAGGCAGTAAGTACCAAGGCCGTACATTTTCTCACCTGGTAGCTCACCTTTCATAATTCTATTTTTCCCTGTGACACACATAGAATCCTTTATTACACAAGTACTAGACACAATCTGGGGCACTTCATGAGCAATGACCTTCTCTCAAGTGGGAAGGCAAAAATCTGTGGTACCAGGTCCGCAATTATGAGTAATGCTTGAGTAAAGCAAAACATCAGTCCTTACTCTTCTATACACTCTGAACGGAGTCAACACAACAATTGTCACACTACTTATTAACATTACTTCTCCATGTGATCACTTCTCAATAGAGTAAAACATATCTAAGGTTTACGAGTCATTCTTTTTTCTTTTCCTTGTGGTACAGGAGACTGAACCCAGGGCCCCTGCACTGAGCTACATCCCCGGCCCCTTTTAATTTTTTATTTAGAAACAAGGTCTTGCGGAGTCATGAGGTTGCCCAGACTGGGTTCAAGCTTGTGATCCTCGTGCCTCAGTTTATCAGGCCTGTGCCACTACACCTGGTTGGTTTACAGCTCATTCTTATTGCCTTCCCCAAGGAATGGTGAATGTAAGCACTAACAAAGTCACTAGTCTAACATTCTATAATAAGGGCTGACAATCTTTTTCTGTATAGGGCCAAATAGCAAATATTTTAGGCTTTGTGGATCAAGAGGTAAAGTCAAGGATATTATCTAGGTACTTAAATAAGACGTAAAAAACCAAATTTTTATCAGTGAAATTAAAATGATAATACTGATTAGAGATTAGAGGTTTTAGCAATATAGATCTACTAATGAGTAGAACATATTTCTCTTTCACTATATTTGGGATGACACTTGATGTACATGGGATCCAATGTTATTGCTCCCTATCATCAAACTGACTGCAGACATTTTCAGGAGACATGAGGGCCACAATTTGCAAATTCTTGCTCTAGAATACTGAGGCAAAACAAGTATGATTTTACCATCTGTCACTGAGCAAATATTTTTCCTTTATTAGTAACAATGTAAGCTTACAGAAATGGGTTCTCTCCACCAGCAGGAAGGGGAAATGGAAAGAACACCAGACTCTGAGTTAAAATAACCTAAATCTCTACTGCCATGCACTGTCAACCTTGGACAAATCACTTTGTCCTCCTCTAGTACTTTGGAGCTTTCAGAAAAATGAAAATATTATGATACTTTAAAATAATTTGCTCCTCTTGCAGACCACACTATTGGCAGCCCCTTAGGGTGACAACACCTCCAACTCTTTGCATTGTCAGCTAAAGAAATGTGCTTGGCACAGAAAAAGAAACACTAATGTCTATGAAGTTCATCAATCAGTTAACACATACTCAGATTTCATTTAAACATCCAATAACTGGGCTGGGGATTTAGCTCGGTGGTTCCAATGCCTGCTCTGCAAGCGCAAGGACCCAAATTCGATCCCATGGTACCAAAAAAAAAAAAAAATTGTGTCTGAACTAAACATCTAATAACTAAGTCTCTTAAAAACTGCTCATTTTTCCCCTCTACACTGAATCATTAATTCCTCAGTTATATAGTCTGACACACTCTTCAGAATATATGCAAATCCAGCTATAAAACAGATGTTACTTGGTAATTTAAAATCAGTGATTTTTAAATATCACCAATATGACCTAATAAAGCTTAGTTATTATGAGATTAGAAAATGTTATAGGCAATGGACTTATGAGTTAGTCCAACATTTAGTGAAGTAGTATCCAAACGCTCTTCTTGGTACATACTCAGTCAAATAAGTGTAAGCAATTCTGCACACTGCATCTCCTTGCAGTTTCACAGTGCATATTAATATGTTCAATATATTATGTATAGGGTACAACCTCTCTTTTCATCCAGTATTTCCCATATTTACCTGCTCATAAAATCCTTCTTCACTTAATGTCTACTATCCTATAGATCGGTGTTTAAGTTAGACCATTTTATACATATTTAAATGTCTCAGATCTTACTATCTGATCTTTTACTAAAGTAACTTTAATAGTTATAATTTTAATATTGTATCCAATAAAATTTTTGGACTTCAATTTTTTAATTGTTATTATTTATGTATCTTTCCCTTTCAGACCAGCCCAGGCAACAATGTTACACCTCTCTTCTGATGACAGTATTGATAATATGTCCTCTGAGAGGAAGTTCTATTGCTATCCCAACATGCTTCTTTCCTGAGGCAGTTACAATAAATGCACACAATTGACAACACCAAGAATAAGTACTCTTTTTGCTCTGACCAGGTGTTTTAATTACTTTCTCATTGGTGAGAGAAAATAGCTGGCAATCACAAGTTAAAGGAGGGAAGGTTTATTTTGGCTCACAGCTTGTAGAGGTTTCAGTCCATAGTCAGCTGGGCAGCATAGTAGAGGGACATGAGAGAGGAGAATTAGTCCATGGCATGGCAAGCAGAAGGCAGTAAGGAGCAGCAGCAACAGCAGCCTGCCTTCTTTCTGTCCCCTTATACTAAATCCAGGTTATAAGCCTATTCACTGGTGCCACTGGTACCCAGGGTGAGGGTTCCATTATTCACACCCTTAACCCACATTCACACACCCTAATCCAGCCACCTTTCAGTGCATGAGTGAGACTTTGGGGATACATCTAGATACAAGCCATAACATTCTGTCGCTGGGCCCCCGAAGACTCATGTGCATCCCTTTATGCAAAAGGCATTTAGTCCATCTCTAAAAGTTGTTAAAGTCCTAACAATTTCAGCATTGCTGAAAAGTCCAAGTCCAAAGTCTTCTCTGAGACTTAAAGGTGAACTCTTAGCTGTGAGCCCCTGTACAAATGAAAACAGTTAAAAATTTGCAACATACAGTGGCAAAAGATAAACAATTCCCTTTCAGAGGGTACAAATGGGATAGAAAGGAATGGGAACAAAGCAAGACCAAAATCCAACAGGCCAAACAAAATCCTGTAGTACCATGTATCTAGTGCAATCTGTGGCAAGATGTGAACTCTAAAAGGCTTGGGTGGCTCTGCCACTTTGGCACTGCCAAGTGATTGTACTTTTGGGGCTTCCCTCTTGGGCCAGCTTTGCTTACCCCTTGAGATTTTCCTCAGATATCCACGTTTCTGGCTTCTCCAACCTTCTTCAGTTTCTACTGTACTTCTGGCTTCACACTCACAGCTTCACACTACATGGATGATGGCAAGGTCTGCCTCTAGCTGGAGCAGTAGCCAGGGTTCCTTCTCTCTTGGCTATAGGGGTCCAGTGCCTGGACTGCTGATCACTCTGAATCCAATTCCGAGGAACAAATTCTCTAGGCTGCAGACCATTCTAGAACATGGTGCGCTGGGGCTCTCTTCTTAAAGCAAAGTCTTTCACCTTTGCAATTTTGAGGCAACAGAGTGGAGTTCTGCTTGGTTCTTGTCATGCTCTCAGGCCCTCTTTTCTATGCCGTCTTCCTAAATGCATGACTTTTTATTACTAATCTTTTCAGCAACCAAGTTCTCCTCTGCTCCATCTTTGTAGTCTGCAACTTTAACAGAGATTCCTTGCTGGCCAAACTCAAAATGTTTTAAATCATTCTGTTAGGTCCTTTGCTCTTGATTCTCAACATAGATCTGGCTAAAAGATCTATGGGAGATCTATGGCAGTGACAGTAGCCATGTCACTGCTTCAACATTAGACTGCCTTGAAATTTCTTCTCCCAGATTAGTCTGCTGCCCTTAATCGCAGTCTCAGGCAAAGTCTCTGAACTAGAGCAAAATACAGACAGATTTTCTGCCAAAGCATTACACAGATGGTCTGGAGTCCAACAGCCAATGCAGTTCTTGTTCCTAACTGAAACCTCCTGAGTCTTGTCTTTACCAGATGCACTTCTATCAGCTTTTCTGGTTTTCTGAGCTCTGACTAGAATCTCCCATCAAGTTCAGCTCAAAGCATCCCATCAAAGCAGCTCCAGGGCTGCTTCTTCATCCAGCATCTCTAAACCTTTCTAAATTCTTCCCACAAGCCAGTTCCAAAGACTCCTGAAGCACATGGCCAGGTAACATCACAGCAACAACCCCATTTCTCTGGCACTAAAATCTGTCTTAGTTACTTTCTCATTGCTGAGACAAAATACCCAATACCCACAAGTTAAAAGGAGGGAAGGTTTATTTTGGCTCACAGTTTATAGGGGTTTCAGTCCATCATGGACTAGTTCCAAAGCAGGGCAGAATGGCAGAGGAGCATCACAGAGGAGAAATAGTTCATGGAGTGGCAAGCAGAAGGCAGCTAGTAGCAGTAGCAGCAGCAGCAGCAGCCTGCTTTCTTTCTATCCCTTTATACAATGGTATCTCAGTTCATGAACTCAATTCTCTCCATAATTCTGGTCGCACACCAAACTGGATGAGAACTGAATCAAATTTCTCCATGAGGTCAATACTGAACCTGACCACTGGATTTGGTTCTTGTCCAACTCGCTTTGTGACAAGAACTGTGGAAAGAATCAAGTTTGTGAACCAAAGTGCCATGTATTCCATTCATCTTATAAGCCTATTGATTGGTGTCACCCATGCCCAGGGTAGGGCTTCCATTTTCTATACTCTTAATCCACACTGACAGACCCTAATCCAGCCATCTTTGAAACTCCCTACCTATGAGCACATGAGGCTTTGGGGGGATATCTAAATACAAGCCATAACACCAAGCAATACAAATAACTTTTGTTCACTAATGATAGTTAACACTGTATTAAGTATGAACAGAACTATTAATTAGGTTATCTTCCCCTTTAGGGATAATTAAGATCAAATGAAGGCATGTACATGAAAGTGCTTTATAACTCTAGTACGTTTTAGAAAAAGTAACAAATAATTTTAACCTCAGAGACTTTGGAATAATAAATCTTCAATTGCTAACCATAATATATTTAAATTTTGCTTTCTGTAAACATCATGCTAGTGCTTTCACATTAGTTACCATTTACTTGCTCTTATTTCTTATTCATCCTCAGTTTATTACTTTCATTAGACTGATTTATTTTAATAAAACCTTTCTATTTACTTAATGCACAGTTGTATGAAGTTTAATTAAGTATTTGTTAACATCATCTTGCTTTCTTTGTTCCTAAATATTTTTCAATCCCCCTTTTAAAAGTGTGCCACCTTGAGGTCTGCTTACTGCAAAGTTCATTGCTGAAAAGTAGTTTCCTATCTCTCATCGAAGGATCCAGCCTGCAGAACTCATCCTACTCAAAGAATAGGGTGGGGGAGGAGGAGTTCACTCTGAGATATGTTAAGATTGGTGCCTATATTTAAGAGAAGATGATATAAGGGTCTGACTTACAAGAGAACTGGGCTATTGCTAGATTGGGAAGTTGTTCCTATAGATAATCAACTATTGAAGCTCTGTGTGATAGTAAATCATGAATGTCAACTTGATTGGCTTGAGAGGTGCCCAGGTGGTTAGTAAAGTACACTTCTGGGTACCTGAGTGGATTACTGGGTCATGACTTTGGGGACCATATCTGGTCCCTGGCCCCTTCCTCTCTGGCTCTTTTCCTGTGTGCTTCCTAGCAGTCACGAGGTTGGTACTTTTCATCCACCACACTTTCTGCTATGATGTTTTTACCTTGGAGTCAGCCAACCATGGACTGAAACCAGTAAAATCATAAGCCAAACTAAACTTCTTTGAATTGTGTATGTCAGGTATTTTGTTCCATGATGAAAGCTGACTAGTAAAATGGTACCTCAGTTTTTGAATTTAATTTGTTTTACAGTTTTGGGGAAGATGGCTGGCTGTGTTTGGTTGTGTGGAGAAGATGCCCATGGTCATGTCTGTCACCTGATGTGAAGTTTGTGAACAGAAGCAAAATTTTGCTGAATGCTTGTTTGTGAACCAAATACTGTTTGCAAATAGAAGTGTTCATGAACTAAGGAATTACTGTACATTATGAAAGCAGAAGAAAAAGAGGCTGAAAAACATTGATATTTAAAAGACAAAACAGAAGAAGCTGAAAAAGAAAGAAGAAATAGTTAAAGCAGCACTATCCAAAATAATTTTTCTACAATGATAGCTAATAGTCACCAGCCACATTTGGTTATTGAACACTTGAGATTGAGAACTGAATTTTTAATTTAAAAAAAGGTTAACTTAAATAGCCACATGTGATTACTGCATTGGACAATGAAGAGGTAGGGTAGGCTGACAATAAAAAGTAATGTCATGGAAGTCAGGAAAAGAAAGTATTTCAAAAGATAGGGAAAGATAAATAGTATTAATTATTACTGAGAAGAACCTCAAGGAAGTACTAAAAAAGTGCATACTATATATAGTTAATTGCTAAAGGTGGAATTGTATCCCCCAAATATTCTTATGTTCAAGTCCATTATAATCTTCAATCATACACAGTAGGGGGATTCTATTAACTAATATAACTGCTGTCCTTATACAAGGGAGAAAACCACACAGATATATGCACATAGGGAGATGCCATGTGAACAAGAAGATAGAGGTCAAGGTGCACCTACCAGTCAAGGAGTACCAAAGACTGACAGCAATCCAGAAGCTAGAAGGGTAACTAACTCTTTTCCTAATCCTTATAGGGAAACCATGGTCACCTCTGCACTCATTTTGATATTGGACTTCTAACTTTAAGAAACAAGGGGTAATAAATTTCTGTTGTTCAAGCCACATAGTTTGTAGTACATTGTTAAAGCAGCCCTAGCAAAATGACAACAAAATAGAGGTCTTTGACCCTTACTAGTTGTTTATCCATCTATTAAAATATTTATAAAGTTTACTCTTTATTTAATCTTTTAATCTTTCAGTGGATAGGAAATACAGGTATAAAACTGTTCTGACACTAAATATTTAAAATTGAGTAGTTATCTAATAAAAACCATGTAAAGATGGTAACATTCAATTGTATATCTGAGTTACTAAAACAACGACTGCACTACAGAATAAACATGAAGAGATCTGAACACAAACGACTCCCAAGAAGCCTATGAGATCTAGTCAGGCTCAAATATTCCTTCATATTATCATAATCTCATGCTTTAAAAACAATTATCATCAAATTATCATCAAAATAAGAACACTTACCTTTGGTTTCTAAACTTGTAAGAGTAGTCATTTTTTTCTTAAAAATGTACACCAAGACTTCCACAGAAAAACCTAGAAATGTATAATGAAGGAATTAAAATGATATCACATAAACACATTCAATGCATGCCTCTACTTCAAAAGCTATACTTTAATTGCTCCTGCCTTTAGCACTTATCATTTAGAAAGGTAAGTGTTCTTTATATTCCCTCCTCATAGGCGGTACTGTTAACTCTACCAAGTGTCTCAAAAAAAAATTAGACAATGTGATTTACTTTTAAATATTCTGTTTCATCATCCTTCCCACTACATTCTAAGTTGTCAGAGATGTATCTTGAATTTTAGTTCAGAAATAAGGCTGAAGTTGCTGAAGGGGCTTATGTATCATTGCTATGACAAAAGGAATTTAAAAGTAATAACTCTTAAGAAACACTGACACAATTTACTCTCTATATATTTATATCAGAGAGGAGCTTCTGTTTCGATGTTTAACAAGAGACAAAAATATTACTGAATATGTACTTTATTTTGGTAATAAAACTGAAATAGTAAATGACAAGGAGACGAGATGGAAGGAGGGGTTAGGGAGGGGGAAAGGAAGTAAAAAGAATTAACACGGGCTATGTACATGTACCAACTCCTCACGATGAATGCAATCACTATGTACTGCAAACACGCACTAATAAAAATAAAATTTAAAAAACTAAGATGGTATAGCTCCTAAGACTGACCGTTGCAGAAACATATGCACGACCTTACGGGGCTGACTCCGGATTCCCAGACTAGGGAAGGAAGAGGATAATAACACGGTGGACTGTCCACTGCCAGGACAAACGGCTTCACCAAGCACGAAACAGTGATCATTCTGGGTCTCTACACGATTCTGCACGGAGTCTTCGGTGACTCACTTCCTTAACAGTCACAGACAATCCCTCTTTTCAACTTGTGGTTTCTGGCTTTGAACACAGGTATCCAAAGCTCCCCCGCCCCCCACACCCAGCTTGGAGGGTGCTGGCGCTAAAGTCGTCCAGCACAGCGAACCCAAACTCCCAAGTGAAGAGGAGGGGAAGGGTGCGTCTCGGGTGTGACAGCGATAGGCGAGGACCGACCAGCCTGTTAACCTTCGCCGTCCGGGAAGCCGGATCTGAAGTTCCATCTCTGTCTGAGGACGCCTGCTCAGATCAATCTTTCCCTAAATCCAAAGATAACATTGCCCACAGCTCAAGCCCAGACCTCCGTGCGCTCCTTCCCAACACCGCCTCCCGCGAGTTACAGAAGCCCGTTCCAGATTTACCTCTAAGATTCTTACTCTCCCTGTTTCCCGATGCTTTCTTCACAGGCTCTGCGCCTAGCTGTCACCAGGCTGACATTCCCTGCTCCTAGCCCACCCCGAAGCCGACGCGCCTAGGGTTTCCGGACAATGAGCAGGTCGCTCACTAAGGTCACTTCCGGTTCCCCAGGGTTTCGTTTCCGGAACGCTGTTCCGAAACGGGAAGACACACGTTCTGTGTTTTCAATAACACAGAACGTAAGGTATAGTGCCTCAGCAAGTGACAAATGAACAGATACCTTTTTAAATATTTAAAAACCAGCAATATTAGGAGGCTTCCCGCCTATTCGCTTGCATATCCGGGTTACCTGTCTACCGAACGGAAGTGGAGATGCCGGTACGTGAAAGGCGGCGTCCCGTAGCTCCAGGGGACGGCGAGCCGAGGCGGGACTGCAGCGTGAATGGGCGGATATGAAGTGACTCCGCCACTGGAGACTAAGGTAGTGAGACTGCGTGGCCCGCGGGTCCAGCAGTGGGCGGAGCTCGGTTGCCAGAGTAACCGAAGGACGGTTGCCGAGGCGCGGTCGTCTCTTGCCCGGTACCTCTGTCCAGTGCTGAGATCCTGAAACCATGGTGAGTGCTGGGGAGGCCGGCAGGGCGCTCTGGGGCCCAGGTTACGCGCGGCCACCCAGAGGCGCCCTGGTCCCTTCTGCCAATCACCCTCCCCTGTCCCTGTGCTCCTCTCTCTTGCTCTTGCTCATTGTGCTACCCAGCCTCGAGAACAGGGTAACCGAAAACGAAGGTGTAAGACATCGAGTCTGACAATTTACAATGACACATTATTCGAATAAGCCCAGATGTTTGTAGGGTTTTTTGTTTGTTTGTTTGCTTTTGGTACCGGGGATCGAACTCGAGACCTTGCACTTGCAAGGCAGGCAGCGGAACCACTGAGCTAAATCCCCGGCCCAAGCCCAGATGTTTGTATTGTTCATCTTTTGCATTTTTTCGTACGTCTATTAAGACTGAGTGGCGGTGTGTATGTGACTGTCTCCACACGAGATCTTGGGCCTTGGCTGCCCTGAGAGGTGGAGCAATGTCTCACCCCGTGTAAGGGCCATTTATCAACAGGGGGATGTTGGCTCAGCTCACTTCTAGTCAACTGATTACCTTCTAGTTGCGAGCTCTATACCCCTTACCCCCACCTCAGCACTGAGGATAGAATCTGGGGGCGTTTTATCACTGAGATACTTCTCCAGCCCTCTTTATTTTTTGAGACAGGGTCTACCTAAGTTCCTCTGGTGGAACTTAAACTTGAAATCCTTCTGCCTCAGCCTCCTGAGCAGCGGCTAGTATGTGCATTGAAACAGGAATGTCTCAGTCTCACACAGAGCTTTTGGAATTCACTTGCTTGAGGATTTGCGGCCAGAAATTCTAAATGACTAGGAATGGGGCTCTTTGTTTACATTTTTACTAAGCCTGTAAGTGATTTGAATTCACTCAGTGAGAACACCAAGGTTCTGGTTAATTCATGGAATCACCTCATCTTTTCAACACTAAGGATAATAGACTGGAGGGTAGCAAGAGCAGTGCTTCCCGATCAGATGGGCATAGCTGTTGATTTAGCAGTAGAGCCTCTACCCACTACCCTTGAATTCCCATTACTGCTTGATATTTTTTCTGTTGGCTCAGTCTGTCCCTAGCCTTTTCCTGTAGAGGCCTTTTCAAACCTCACTTCCCTCACTTCCCTGCCCCTTCCTCTCTTTTTTTCTCTTTTTCCAAGCAGATGACAAAGTCTAATGGGCAATTTCTTCAGCCTCATGTCCCAACCTACGTATTGATCAATATTTTTACTTTCTTTATTCTTGTGTTTCCAGTGTAGAGAAAGAGGTGTTGAAAGATAATCATCCTCCTTTACTCTTGATCTCATTTGCTCCCATCTATTACAAGACATTTTGCTTCCAGTTCTTTTCTTCTTTCTTGTGGTTTCAGCCTCTTCCTCTCTAGTTTCTTTTCAGTGCTCAAGCCATACATTTTATGAAAATTAAATAAAACAAGTGTCCTCGTCTTGTGTTTACTCAGTTTTTGCCCAGTCCTCCCATCTTTCAGTAAACTGCTTGAAAGCATAGTCTTTTTTACTTGCATTCACTTCTACCTCTTTTTTTTTCATCTTCAAAAGTCTGTTATCTGGCTTTCTGTCTAATGACTTCAAAGGAGTGGGGATGTAACTCAGCGGTAGAGTGGTCACGTAGCATGTGAGAGGCCCTGGGTTCAATCCGCAGTATTGCAAACAACAAAAAGCTAATATCTTCAATGAAGTTGCTTGTAGATTTCTGAGGGCTTTGTAAGTGCTTGAAGTTTATGGTCATTCATTCCCTTTTTCACTGGCTTTGCCTGAGGTTTAACTGGCCAACAAGCTCCAGGGGCTTAATTCATTGATGCCTTTATTTTATTCAGTTATATATTTTATTCAGGCACATATTGTAAAAGATTATGGGTTTCATTGTGACATTATCATGCATAGATATAGTGTGCTTTGATAGTGACCACTCCTCCCTATTACCTTCTTTTTGTTATCTTTGCTCCTTCCCTTCTTCACTTCCCCTTCCCTCATAATCTCCTTTCTACTTTCATGTCATCTTTTTCTCTTATCTCTGCCTTACTTTGCACATGCTGCTCCTTTTATCTTTTTTGCCTTTTGAGATAGGGTCTTGCTATTCCAGGCTGGCCTTGAACTCACTCTGTAGCCTTGGCTGACCTCAAACTCTCCAACCCTCCTGCCTCGCCTCCTGAGTGCTAGGGTTACAGATGTGTGCCATCACACCTGCCTGCTCCTTCTATCTTTACCGCTTTGTTTGCCTACTGTTTCCTGTTGATTCTTCCTGACCTAGGTCAGGTGTGTCTTCTATAATCCTTCCCCACTTTTCAAAGAGGATTGACTGTGCATTCTTTTTGTTGTTGTTGTTGCCACTTCATATAGCACACATCTTTCTTCCTCTACTTACCTCATTCAGTTGAAATTATTTGCTTATATATCTGTCACCCTTAGTAAACTGTGAACTGTTAGAGGAATGTTCATTTATTTTGTGCACTGCCACTGCTTAGATCATGTTAGGTACTCAACTATTTGCTGAATGAATAGAAAACAAGAAAAAATGTAGTAAATGGTCTGAGAGAATTTGAAGTATCTGAGGAGATTGGAAGATGGAGTCCTCACATTAATCAGAGAGTCCCAAAAAAGTCATCATTGAAGTAAATGGAATAGAATTGCAGTAGTTAGAAAGTACTGACTGGTGCAGTGGTATAAGGAGGTGAATTCACATTTGATAAATGCTGATTGCACGTGTGTTGTGTGTATGTGTATCTGCCAATCAGACTTTCTAGCAATGCTAAGTGCAGTGAACTCCTCCCCTCTGCCCCTTACTTTATTTTTTCCATTTTAGTGTCTTGTATTAGTCACTTTTTCACTGATGAGACATAAGTACCTGACATACCCAATTTAAAGGGAGAAAAAAAGGATTATTTGGGCTTGTGGTTTCAGAGGACTCAATCCGTGGTTGGTTGACTCAAGGCTGTGCCCCTTACTTTTATTTATAGCTCCTTCCTAACCCTTTTTAGCACTTTTCCTGGCTGGGATTTCTGGTGGCGACTCTTTCAAAGCAGGTGGTCCTTGAAGGGTCTTCTGAGTAAGGGACATTTGTATTGAGACCTTAGTGATGTAAAGAACAAAGATCTGAGACAGTGTTTCAGGCAGGACAACCAAGATCAAGAGCCCTGAGACAGAAAAGAGCTCTGTGTGCTTTAGGAACTCATTGTTGACTGTAAGAAAGAAGAGAACCTGAATGGTGGGGTGGTGGAGGGGTGGCTTTGGTGGGGGCGTCTGGTGGAGAATGGCGTGAACTGTGGTTTGGAAAGGTAGCAGAGGCCAGTCCATGGGTATGTACATACATAGTGGTGTTTCTCAAGCTGGATTGTGACCCATTACTGTGCTCTGTTGTGAAATCAGTTTGTGGTATGTCTTCAAGAAAGAAGACATAAAATAGAAAGTTAGCATATTTTATTATATACAGCAAGGGTAAAGTTTTGTTTTAAATTGCATTTATATGGTACATATACTGCTTATGATGTATAATATATCATACTGTGAGTCATGATTTATGAAGTTCAAGACACAGTGCATTTTTTAATAAAGAAAAGAGGTTTATATAGCTCACAATTTTGGAAACTGAAAGTCCAAACAGTATAGTGCTGGTTCTGGCAATGGACCACTGACAGATGTTAGGTGGGAGAGCTAGTGTGTAAGGAAGCAATCACTTCAAGATAGGAAGACAGGCTGAGATCCCAGTCTCACAATCCCCCGGTGGGATGGGCCTTTAATTGACATAAGTACCACCCAATAGACCCCACCTCTTGAAGGTTCCATACAGTCATTTAAAAAAATTTTTAAATTTTTATTGGTACATTTTTGCAGTACATAATGATTACATTTCTCATGGAGAATTGGTACATACACATAACACATCTTTTTTTTTTTTGGTACGGGGGATTGAACTCGGGACCTTGCACTTGCGAGGCAGGTGGCAGCATCACTGAGCTAAATCCCCAGCCCTACATAACACATCTTAATTCTTTTCTTCACCCTCTTCCCCTCCTCTCTTTCCCCCTCCCTCATTTTCCCTTTGGCAAAAGATGTGTCTCCCTATTTCCTATTATTTGTCTTTTATTTTGGTCTTTACTTATATTTTGGGTTTCTCATGTAAGAGAAACCGTGCCATATTTAAGCTTGTGTGTTTAAGGACACAATATAATTTGAACATTATATACTTTAAAAGGCAAAATAAATGAAATATCAAGGCAAGTAGTTTTATCCTATCCCTCTTTTGACCTAGCGACAGTGTTCTCATTGTGTGGCAAAAAAAGCTTTGAATTTCATGAAAGCCTGAAATTGGCTAGAGTAAAATTTTTGTTTCTTTATGCATGCAGATCTCACTTCTATGTGATTTGCTGTCAGTCCTTTATAAGAAAGCGTAGGCCTTTTGAAAAGGAGAAATAGATGTCCCTTCTCGATGTGCAGTCTGGCTACTGGCACACACACTGTGGCAAAGACTAAAGATCTTGCGATAAGCAGCTGAGGACGGGCGCTGTTTGCTCTCCTGGTGTGGTGCCTGACCATTGTCATTTCACTATAGGATCAGCTTCTCTTTGCATCTAACTTGTTACAGTTGTGGCTTCTAGTGCCAGATTCAGGTTCTGGTCACAGATTCTAGAACCACTTTTGTCTTATGAAGCAGAGAGAGGCAACTGTAGTTCAGTATTTTTCTCATACATGTTGTTAAAGATAAAGAATAGATTTTCTAGTGGTAGCATCTCCAGTATTAGAGTCATCAATGCATTTTATGTGTCATGAAAAGAAGAGGTAATTCTAAGGCTCACTGACTGATAAAGTAGGAATCTTATTTGTTTTACAAAATAGCATTTGTTTGAATAATGTTACCTCAGATGAGCTGTTAGTATAAAAAGATTTTAAAGATTACCAGCTATATTCCATATGGATTAGATTAAACTTTTGAAGTACCCGTGGATATGTCTCAAGGTTGAAAGTCATTTTAAAAGAGTTTCTACAAATGGTTTCATGA